GTACTTCAAAAAATATGTAATGTTGAAACAGATGAAAACATATACACATACCCTTTCATTACAGATTAGTTGTGTTACCAAGTTCATGTATAAGTCCTTCTGAGTGAACAGTAAAATCTATTGAAAAAAAATTATGGAATTTAGGTTTACTTGAAAAACAGTTAGTTTAGAGGAGAAAGTCTTATTAACTGTGAGAAAGGAGTTAAACTTAACAGTTATGAGGCAGAAAACTATGCAGTAGCAGGCTCTCCAAGGAAGTTATAAGGCTAAAGGTTTGGGCAATCAGAATAATGGTATCCAGGGACTGGCAGCCAAAGAAAAATCCAAAATTATTTTCAAAGACTATGTAGATTGGCACCATTATTTTTAAGAAACAAAACTAAAATAATTGCCATTTACAGAGTACCTACAAGTTTCTTTACATGTATCCTATCTAAAATCCTTCATAACAGATACATTTCATTTGGGAGGAAACTATCCGAAATGGTCTGGCTTACTGAATGGCAAGTCAGAAGTATTCGTGCCAGAAGCGAATGAGTTATAGATGGGCTTGTGAGGGATCCACAAACAATAAGCTGGCGAGAAGCCTGGAGGCTACGAAGCAAAGGCTTCTCTGCTGTGGAAAGAAGGAATATAATTTGCCATATGCTCATGTTGTACCACGTACTATAATAAACATTTATATATATATATATATATATATATATGTCACTGAAATATTAACAATCTTTCATGACAGGAATCACAATTCCTGATTTTACAGATGGGAACTGGAGGCTCAGAGAAACTGAGTAACTTGCCAAAAGGTCACACTGCTATTGCGTGTTAGAGCCAAACAGGAATCCAGGTCAGTTTGATTACAAAGCTTTCATTCACCTAAGTCATGCTCCTCTGTACAAAGTCAGTAACTTTTGCGTACTGCCATTTATGTTGCTCAAATACATTTTGTCTTTTCTCTAAGAGAGTGCTCATACCCAGGAACCTGAGGAACCAGGTTCCTCAGAATTCCACAGCTGGTCAGGGCGATAAGAGATCAGGCAGTTAATCCTCTTACTTCAGGGGTCCTAAGGCCTATTAAGGTTCTGAGAGCATCCGATGTTGCAATGCCCTGAATGATAGAGCAGTGTCTCCTAACTTCCAGGTCAGAGCCTCCTTCATTAAGAAGATTCATCGAGACTATTCGGTCATAATAGAGGGAAAAAGAAAAAAGAAACAACTCTGACAAACATGGTAACTACCAAATTAGATTTTCCTATTAAATATAAAATAAAAATAGCACCATAATTACCACGTAATTATTAAATGAAAGCAGAAGTCTTCTACTTGAGAGATCTGATATCTCTAAGTAAAAGGTAATAAAAATTACTATTTGTATAACTTTGAATTTACATAGTTAACTACTGTTCCCAACACAGCTCCAAATTATTGTTTTACAGTTAAAGAACATAATTAGCTAATTAACTTAAATATTGTTTAGAGAGGATAGTTAGAATAGTTAACTGTTAAGACCATCAGTTTTTAGTGTGTTCTGATTGTAGTACAATGCAGGGAAATAATTAGCAGCTTCACTCCTAAAGAATCTTTAAATATTGGGATTAGAGAGTATCACTTGGGATATTTTCAATTTCAAGTACTGTAATTGAAAACCCAGGCTCAAAGGGGCTTAAACAGTAAGGGGTCATTAATCCTGAAGAAGAGTTAAGTCCAGAGGCATCAAAGGTTCCAAAGCTGGCTAAATTCAGCCTCACAGTGTTATCATGGGCATTCCATCTTTCTCCTCTACCACATTTGGTAGTTAGCCCGTCTTCATGAGCCAAGCAGTTCCAGATGTCTCACTAAGAGAGGAATTTCCTTTTAGACACCTCTACCACTTAGAAAATGTTCTGAGCAGCTCCCCAGCCGACTTCTCCAACTCCCATGGAATAAGATTAGGTCAAGAGTCTGTCTTCCACAATAACCTGCAGCGTAAATGATTGGCTTAAACAATCATTAGTTGCCTCCTGGAGTCGAAAGAGCACAGCCTCTCTTAAGTATGTGATCGCACACTGGGAAAGCAGATTAAAACTGTTGTTCTTTCAAGAATCAAGAAGGGGAGGGTGGGGGGTTGGGAGGAGAAGGGATTAGGGAGGGAAACCAAGAGTTTCCCTTAGAGTGTGCTTCTTTAGGAAGTAGAAGAAACAACAGAATTAATTCTACTCCTGCCCACAAAGACAGGAATGTTAGTGGTACATTGAATACTGTGATTACAGTTACTCAGAAAGTGGAATATATTACTTGAGCCTAGTCTACATAACTTCCAGTTTCCATTTTCATACAACTCAAGCATGCTATTATGCTTTGGTTAAAACTTTTGTTTCTCTTCGATGACAGTTTCCCATTTGACCTGCCTTACCAGTAAGGTTAACATGAGGAAATACACATAAAATTCAGCTAAACTTTAGAAGAGGCCTGAGAAAGATGAGGTAAAAATTTCCTAAAGTACCTAAAAAAGGAGTTTACATTCATTTAAGGAACGGAATCACACAGAAGTAAAAGGTGGAAGGTATAAAAAAGAACGGGGTAACTGGGGGGCTCAGTCGGTTAAGCGTCCGACTTTGGCTCAGGTCATGGTCTCAAGATTGGTGGGTTCAAGCCCCGTGTCAGGCTCTGTGCTGACAGCTAGCTCAGAGCCTGGAGCCTGCTTCAGATTCTGTGTCTCCCTCTCTCTTGACCCTCCCCTGCTCACGCTGCCTCTCTCTGTCTCAGAAAAAAAAATTAAATTAAAAATTAAGAAAATAAAAATTAAAAAAAAAAAAAGAAAGAAAGAAAGAAAGAACAGGGTTACTGAGGAGGGCAGAAGCTGATACTTTCCTGACTACAAAAGAGCTGCTCACCTTATGTCTGAAGAAGGGATAGAGTGGGAAACATTAGGGAAGTGGGCTGCATGCAGCAAGATATTGATATTCTTGATTTAGGAAGCTTTTGGATTATTCATTAAATATCATCTGAAATACTCTTTCCAACTTTTGCAGAGGGCACCTTCAAATTCGCCAATCACACTGTCTTACTGCACAAAAATCTTTATAAGTTACAGTACTGACTTTGGCTACTTAAGCAAAATATTGTCACATACTGCATAGAAAGATCATTCTTACCAACTAGTTTTAAAATGTATGTCATGAGTTCAAATGACAGACTTAACAAGAACAGATGGATGACACTTTTTTCTGATATTGTACTATTCCTTGAAAACTGTAAATACAGGACCTAATTATCTCCAAAATTATCCAAGTATAGTTAATAAATGTGAAATATTTCAATAAAATGAAACTACAAGGATTTCTATAAAAGAACTTAAAAGCTTAAGCCAATTCCAGCCCTTAGATTAGCAGTTCTTATTATAGAATGTCACCTTATTTGGGAGACCAAAAAGACACAAGTCAGTTCCCTTATTTACTACCCTTAACAGCAAGAGGCTTTAGAGTACTTAAAAAAATTCAACTCCAACTTCAAAGAATAAAAATTTGCCAGCAGTGAGACTATTTAACAAAATACACTAAAGACTTTAAAGCAATGAATTCCCAACATATGGTTCTAAAAAACATTTTGGCAATAGGAGTATTAGTTCAGTATATAAACAATCTTCCAAGGTGATACCTTCTAAGAGGACAAGTTTTTCTTAGGTTTGTTCAAAATGAGTCAATGCATTTCATAAGTATATCTTGTAAGAGTAGCTCTTACACGTTAACAAAGAACAAGTAAGACTGATTTGGGGGAGAGGGGGAGACTGACCTGTAAGTACTCTGAGAAAGCCACTACTGAAACAAATAGCATGCCACTCTTTCCTGTTCAATACCATACATTTTCACATTTCGAAAGTTCTGAACAAGCAGAACAATTGAGATAAAGAACTGAGAAACACCTGAAGTTCAATCAGCAACAGCCCTTAATTTAGCCGTACTAATTTTGCTGTGAATTTTTCTTTTAACAGTATATTTAACTTAAAAGTATTCTACATTGTAACCTGCTTGGGAAAAATTATTAGAGTAACAGATAAAATGGCCCCTAATAGCTCATCCAAAAAGAATTAATTTTATCGTCTCATGGTTTTTAAATGCATGAAAAATCCATTTAACGAAGACTTGGGGTTGAGTGATGGTGACATCTTTACATTAAGACACGTTGTGACACTGTGCAGTAAATAAACTGTATAATTCATATCAAGAGGCAGTTCCAATTTTTGTAAACCACAAATATCTGCAATATAAAAGGCTGTAGTTTACAGTAAAAACCTCTGAATATTTGTAACCTGACCGTGCTGAAAATGATAAACTCACAAGAAGGGGACACATGAACATGAACGTAAGGCAATTCCTGAGGGTGGGAGTAAGAATAATAATGTGAGAGATGTAGACTTGGAAGTCTGTCAAACTGGGGGAGGCTGTGGGAAAGGGGTAAACCTTAAAGACTTAAGACGATTGAGTTTGTCATTCCCAGCCGAAAAGAACTCAATGATTTAAAAAAACAAACAAACAAACAAACAAACAAAAAAACCCTTTGGTTTCTCTTTCCTTTTGTTACGAGTTTGTTTTCCAAAAAGTCTTACACTCTGTGAACCTGGAGATTACTCTTTACAGTTCTTTTCAGCCAAGTACAGTACTTGGACAATTCTGCCAACGTGGCAATCAGGTGGGCAAAGGGAAAGGCTAGTGAGGAGGCAGAGCAAAGAAGGGGATACTGGATACAGGATATAAGCCCGATTAGAGCCAGCAGCGATGTGTCAGGAGGGGGTGAGCAAGCCGAACTGGAAGGGCTGAGCCGTGCTGAGGCAAGAGTGCGGTAGGAAATCTTGAACAGGGGTCAGGGATAGGAGAGCAAGGGGGAAGGAGAGCAGGCCAAGGAGGGTAGATCAAAAGGAGGCAGCTGGCGGGCAGTAGGCCTGAGGAGCTCTGAGTGTGTCTAGGACCAGCCCACCTCCCGCCCCACTTTCTCCTCCTGTCGGAGAGGCAGCGACCAGTCACCTGGAGTGTGAATTCCGGAGGGACTCTATGAGGCGCTGCTTCTGCTGCTGGAGGCTGGTGAGGCCACCGGGGGACCCCGCTGCGGAGGAGGAGGCGCTCTTGGTCAGGGGAAAGAGCCAGCTCATCCTCCCCGGGGCCCCGGGCCCGAGGCCCTAGAAGGCTCTGGCCTGCTTCTCCCAACTGCTCAACCCGGCGGTTCCCCAGCGACAAGGAGGAGCAGTCCGGGACGCCCGGGTCCGGAGCGCCGGGGGTGCCGCGTCTTCGCTAAGCAAGCCCAAGCTGAGGGGTCCTTGCGCCCTGGGCGAACCACCCTGACTGTGGGCAGTTAGAGAGAGGGAAGCAGCCGCCCGGGACAGGCAGCGCTACCTTCACTGTCCCGACACCCAAGCCAAGCAGCCCGGCAGCCTGACGGATCCGCGCTCCACCACCTCTGCTTCCGTCACCGGCGTGCTCCGCCCCCTCTGCGTGTCGCGTCATCACCTAGCGCCCCCGCCAGGACGTGCGAGAAGCGACGGCGCAGCACGGTGCGGCGCAGCCCCGGCTCCCCTTCCCCCCTTGCTGGGCGTGAGGTGTCTATGGGGCACCCGCTGCTGCTGCCGCCGCTACCGCCACCGCCACCGCCACCGCCGCTGTTTGCTGTCTCTATGGCGAGGAGGAGGAGGAGGAGCGCGAGCTCAGCGACACAAGTAGATCTTGCGTCTGCCGGGGGGAGGGGCGGATTGGGGAAGTAGAAAGGGGGCGGGAACGATGAACCTGAGAGGGTGAGAGATGGCGCCAGCTGGAACGCGGCAGGCGAAGGAAAGGGCTAGGCGGCGGGTGGAGGGGGGCAGGGTAACGGGCTGAGGGTGTGTCAAAGAGGTGGCGCGGGGTGATGACGTAAAGGCTTTGTACCTGGGGCTTCGACGTTGTTGGACGGAAATTGGGAGTGGAGGGCGGTGGCCTAGATCCTCAGTTCCTCGTATTTCTTTTCGCAGCAGTTCTTTGGAGTCAGTCTGGCTCCAGTAAATGGTTACCAAGCACCTTCACACTGGCCCTGTGCCAGGGAAGAGAGTTATCTATCGCTTGAATGCCTCTGTGCTGTTCTCTCGTTTCTTTGGGAGGCTTCAGTACGGAGATTCTGTCCAGTAATGAGAGGGCCTCTAGTGCCTCCTCGGGGATTCTGGAATTGTAGAGAGAGGTGGAGAAAGCATCGTTAAGCTACAGGGTCTTTCTGATGTGTGCGTGTGTTTGTGTTTAGCGGAGGGGGAGGGGGTGTCCCTGGATCTTTGGTTTCCGTTCTTGGAGCACTCGAGGTTACTTACATTTGTGACTGAAGTGTTGGGGGTGGGGAGGGGATCAGAATTCCCTTTCTTACCGTTGTTAAGATTTTTTCAAACTTCTGTGATAAATTAAGGAGCATTGGTAATTTTCCTGCCGAAGAATCAAAACGTTGGTGTGTACTCTTAGCATTGTGTACCATGATACGGTGTTTATGGAGCAGAAACGTGAGATGTGTGTTTGGTAACCAGGGGAAAAAATGCTGGTGGTTTTTAGGAAATTAGAAACCATTTGAAATGCATACACCGTATTGCTTCCTCTCTTTCTCCTTCCTGCATTATGGACATTCAAATAGTTTCCTGCAGTTGTTATTTTTCAGACAGAGCTTTTCTTTGTTTTCGTTGTTGTTGTTGGTTTACTAAAAAGTCCCTTCCAATCTGACTTGAATAAATGACAGTAAAATAGATTTTGTAATCAAATCAGATTTTAAATGTTCTGTAAAAGCAAACACTACCTTTGTCCTAGTAACATCTGATCTCGTCACATGTATATCAGTATTTAATTTTTCATTTTTTGTCTGGAGATGGATGTGTTTTAAAGAGTTTTATCCAGGGAGTGAGTTGAATTCAAAGCAATCTTCAATTAATGGAAAGTTTTTGAAAATGATGAGTATGTACACATAAAAAAATAGTTTTTACTTAACGTTGACATTAGAACCAGAAAAACTATGTTGCATTTCTTTTTTTCTTACTGATTAGTTTTGTGCTTTTAGACAAGTCAGTTCCCAAACTGATTTTCATATGAGTCAGGGACTTTGAATAAATAATCTTTTAGGTTTGTATCAACTCAAATATTCTATGATTCAGATTTCTGATATTTCTGGGTTTTATTTTGGTTTTTATTTTAACAGGTACAAAAATAAAGGATAAAGTATTTTATGAAACAAACAAATCGTCAATCAAGTATAACATTTTGATGCTTGGCATCTAGACTTCTTGTGCCCTCACTATGCCAGCAGCAACTGTAGATCATAGCCAAAGAATTTGTGAAGTTTGGGCTTGCAACCTGGATGAAGAGATGAAGAAAATTCGTCAAGTTATCCGAAAATACAATTACGTTGCTATGGTATGCCTATGATCAAATCCTTAAAATGTTTCTTATAAAAGGGGAAGAGGGTTTTTAAAAGTCTTGAATTCAGCCCATCTGGTTGATTCTTTTAGGGATTTATTTAATTACAAAAATAAATTGTGTCGATGTTGTCCAAGCAGAGATTACCGGGAACACATCTGCACTGTGGCAGATTGGGTTTATTACTCATTGTAGTGAGGAAAAGTACACACCACTAGAACCATGGGACATTTTAGTAAGAGTGTTAGAAAAGACTTTTAGGATTTGGGCTTGTGTCAGGTGGTGTTAGGGATTAAGGAAGCAGGGCCTTGCTCTGAATTGGATGCTGTTGGGATGCTGAGGTAATTCTGTGACAGGGTATTTTAATAAATCCAAACTAGAATGAGGGAAGACTAGAGTGAGACTGAAGCTATAAAGAAGCAACGGTTACTTACATTAGCCAAGGTAGAAGACTGATCAGTTTTGTGGTTTGGACAATGTTTATGTTTTTGTCTGTGTTCAGTCATGATTATGGAGGGGTCTTGTCTGATGTTGGTGTGAAACTGTTTATAGGCAGCAGAACAGCAGGACCCAGCTGTGCGTGCCAGGCCGGCTGCCAGCAGCACTAGGCCTAACTGATAAAAACCAGATGAGCACTGCACCCAAAAGCTTGGGGGCTCCTGCGTGTCTTTCTCAAAAAAAAAAAATCTCCCAGTGAAACATTGATGTGCAGTTTTTTGTTGTTGTTGTTTGAATCCTCACTGGAGTTGCATGAACACACTATGTTGTTAAGCATCTCTGCTCTTGCCTTTATTATTCCGTCTGCCTAGACTGTGTGTTTATTTTGCTGCTTTACTGTACCTTGTACGTCTGTTAGTTATCGTACTGTTTTTTAGATTGTTAGTTCTGCGAAGCAAGGGGTTATTGTCTGAGTCATCCTCTCTCCCCCACAACGCACCTAGCGTAACACATAGCATCCAGTAAAGTGGCTGTTGAGTTGGACTAAATTTAAAGAGGTTTTAATTTCTTCACAGTTTCATAGGGATTTGATATTCAGATTTTTTCTGCGTTTCTGTGGGTTGACTGGTAAACTACAGATATTCGAGTGAACATAGACAACTCCCTATTTAATTAAGGTGTACTTACCCATACTTAGAATTGAAGTTTTTTTATCTCACAAAATAGAGACCTGATGACCTTCTACAGAAATAAGTGGATTTTCTTTCTCTAGAGTATAGAAAGTACTATTTTATTTTAGCTCAAGAAATGAGAGTTTTGATGTTTAGACAAACCTTGTCTAAGAGAAATAATTGGAAAGTATGATGCATTTTCCATTCTTAATAACCAGTTCTTCACTGATTTTAATGCTAGCATTATCTGGGCATAGTTTTACATACCCCTTGAGAAACATGAATGTATGATTTTTCCCCCTTCCTTGGGAATAGAGTACTTGGTTACATTTATCATTCATTTGTTACACACAGTAATTTTTTTACCGAGATGATACTTAAAATAAGAAAAAGCTATTAAATTTATAGTTTTATGGTTTTAAGATGTAACGCTTTTCATAGTTAAAAGGTAATTTGTAATTGAGTATGAGTGTACAGAATATTCTCTAAAACAGGATTCTTTGACTTGTACCAAAAATGATTTATTCTAACAATCTGTGGATTGTGGTTTTGACCACTTAGTAAATAATGAATCTTAAAACTATTTTACAGGACACCGAATTTCCAGGTGTGGTTGCAAGACCTATTGGAGAATTCAGGAGCAATGCTGACTATCAGTACCAACTATTGCGATGTAATGTAGACTTGTTAAAGATAATTCAGCTAGGATTGACATTTATGAATGAGCAAGGAGAATACCCTCCAGGAACTTCAACTTGGCAGTTTAATTTTAAATTTAATTTGACGTAAGTGGGAAATAAATATATCCCAGACTTTTTTAGCTTAATTGTAGAAATTGATTTCCCTCAAGTATGGTGAATGAAATGCTAACTGAATTTGGCTCTGTTATCCTATAAATATTTAAAGTCTAAAATTCAAAAGATTAGATTTCTTATCAAGGGACAAAAAAATTAGGATAAAGATGACTTCATATTCAAATACTTTGAATTTTAGAGATGTTATTCGAAAAGTATGACTATCACTTTTTTTGAAATCTGGAAAACCTTGGATATTGAAAATACCTGTTGATAGAAAAAATAACCTTGTATTAATTTTACTTTCAGACTTTGTGTGCAGTTTCAAATATAGAAGTCTTTGTTGTCGTAGTTATCCTTGTGAAGAGATTTTTATTACAGTCAAACTCCAGTTTATGAATAGATTACATATCAGAGGTACTGAGACATTTCTCGGAAACTTAGGTGCATTTTGCTCTCAAGTCAGTGTTATATAATAGTTTCAGTCCCAAATCAGCTCAAAGAAACCTCATAGCTTACGTATAGGGGAGATAATGGGATCCTTGAACTTGGTATTTCTTTAAGAAACCGTTCAGAATCTGCAGTTCTCTTCCAGAATCTGAATTCTAACTCAAGACTTAGGTTAAAACTTAGTTTCCTTACTTGTGGTACTTCTGTATCATTGGTAAGAGTAGTCTTGATAGCTTAGGGAAGTTTAGAGTGTTTCTGGGTGAGGGCAGATTGTTTATAATCAGTGTAAGGTGGGGAAATATTTAATACATCCTTACTAAGTTACAGTACTGTGATATCCTTCTATTTGACAGCTTGTACTTGTGTAATATGGTCTTCTATCTGGTTTAAAAAATCGTAAAAGAAGCCATGGGACCTTTAATGGTAGTGCCAGTGTAAGGGCCTCCTGTCCTCTGTACGATACTGTGATAGCATGGAAGATCTAAAAGGGCTAGAGAGTAGGGTCAGTGGTGTATTCTGACTTCTAATTACATAATGTTTAGCCTGACTCTTTTGTTTTATTTGGTTGGATTTCATAAGGTATTCCAGAACCTTCAAAGGGTTAAAAAGTACTCCTGTCTATTTAAACTGGTAATAATCTTTTATAAGTACTACAGAAAATAATTGTTTCTAAAATTAGTTCTTAGCCATTTCATTTGTTCCATGTTACCTTTTTCCCAAGCTGATCATTAGGACATTGTTTTTTAACTAAGATATCATTGTGATGTAAATACATGAGTAGGAGGTAACCCATCTCTGTCTTCATTTTGGTAAAATTGACATTTTCCTTTCCTAGAAACATCCTTGTTATATTAACAACTGCCTTGCTTTTACAATCTTTGAAGGACATTTTTTTTTTCTTATACAGAAAGGGCTGCTTGTTATCAAGGTTTGCTACCATTTATACTAATGTTAGTATCAGAGAAGAAGTTTAAGGAGGAGGATATAGTGAAACATGTTATTTAAGTAGATCTGATTAATTGGAAGATAAACCTGGGACTGCCTCATGTGGAAATAGAGTACCATGAATTAAATTTTGAGTATTTTAAAGAAAGATGAAAATTGAGTTTTTTTATTGAGTGCCTAGAGTGTGTCAGCAGCTGTGCTGGGTACCAGGGATACAGTGTTGAGGGAAGCTTGTCGTGGTCTTTACAACTTAGTGTTCCTGTAACTTTGCTGTCTGCTTTCCATTTGCCAAAGTCTGAGAGTTAAAATTGTTAGATAATGGTCAGTATACAGAAATTCTCTCCAAACTGAATTTGGAGTTGATATGTAGAATGAAAACTGAAGTGGAATATTGGTGAACTGTGCAGAGAAAGCTCTCTCAAAGGAGATGGGAACAAATTTCTAAGAAGTCATCAATTTGATGGGTGTGGTAATTCTTGGTATTTGAGAGAATCATTTTAATAGTGTAGTAGAGGTTATAGGAGATTGTGGGTTCAGTGGTAACAGAAAGAACCTGAAAATTCATTTAAGGAAAATGGCAGTGACAAGGACAAATAGAGCCGTAAGTAGACAGGACAGAATCGAACAGGGTGGTTTTAGTTTTGTTTGACAGATAGTGCACAGGCGTTTGAAGCCTAAAAGGCAGTTGTCAGGTATGGACGTGCGGGCTCCTCATAGTGTCTTTCTGATTTTTGGAGCATCTTACGTGTTTTTGGTTTGAGTTCATTAAACATGAAGTTTAGTAACCATCTACGTATTTGTGACTATCTGTATTCTAGTTTGCCTTTGCTTGTGAGTTTTAGCGTAAACTTACATAGCGTGTATGTGTTAAAATGTAAAATGCATGTTGAGCCAGGAATGGATTGAAGTTGGAAGGCAAATTGTAGAATCTTTAATCTGCTGTGTTTAAAAACGTGAATTTGTGTAGTAGGTAAAGTTTATACTTGTAGGTATGTCTAAAATTAGGGGCACCTGGCTGGCCTCAGTCAGTAGAGGATGCGACTCTTGATCTCGGAGTCATGAATTCAAGCTCCATGTTGAGCATGGAGCCTGCTTTAAAAAGAAAAATGGTGAGAAGATACATATTTATTGAATTTAACATACCTAGTTAGTTTCTGTTTTTAGAATATTTGATATGAGTAGCCTTGTATCTGCTTTTTGGGAAAACCATTTTTAGAGATTTGTACATAACTTCAATTCCTGTTTAGCTATTAAAACTAGGTATTTTGCCATCTTAAACTTGAGTAGTTGATCAGTGTTAGGAGCAGTGACATTACTGTTCACTGTTGTTCTGAACAGATTGCTCTAATCAGGAAGCCCACCCTGCACCTGCAGCAATCTAACGAGACAACATTTTAACTACTTTTTTAAGAATTGCATATTTTAATATTTTTCTATGTTTACTAGGATCTTTGAGGGTGGGGAATGATTTCAAAACTTGGAATGGATACCATGGGAAAGGTTCAGTCTGTTGATCTGGAGAATTAAGTTGTAACAATTACGAAGTTTGCCTTACCAGCAGGAAATTTTCTTTACCAGAAGAGAATTTATTAGCCTACCTGTATGGAGCTCCCAGCTTTCTCTTCTGATGAATCGGGCATTATGAAACATGAAATTGGTCCCAAATTACAAATTTTTATCCAAAGAAATTTAAAAGACAGTACATTAACTTGGTCTGAATTGAGTTATGTGAATTATATAGAAAAAAAGAGAAAGAAATAATTTATACACTTTTTTTTGTTAACCAAACTTATTTGACCATCACACATCTGAGATACTTCCCCCCAGATCTTTTTTCTGGAGATTGTGATTCAGTAGGTGTAGGTATAGGACCTGGAAATCCACATTTTTGGTAAACTCTGGGTGATTGCTGTTATTGGGCAGGTTTGGGGTAGTGCAACACTCCATTCTTCCCTTTCACATATTTTTTGATGTGGTGATATATATTAGACAAAATAGACAAGAACCATTGCCCCCTTGAAGCTTACATTCTGACTGAGAGAACATGTACTAAAATAAAAGTGAGCATATGGCCCAGAATAATTTGAGCCTAGGGGAGGAATCTGTTATGATGTTGGTTGGTTACAGTTTGCTAAAGCATGCCTCTCCCTGCAAGCACCAGAGGTTGATGAGTGAGATGTTAGTTGTTTAAGGTACATAAATTTTTTTAAAATTATTTTTAAAGTTTATTTATTTACTAAGTGAGCGCAGGTGCGAGTGCAGGGAGAGTCAGAGAGGGAGAAAGAAAAGATCCCAAGCAGGCTTTGCACTATCAGCACAGAGCCCGACTCAAGGCTCATCCTAGAACCATGAGATTGTGACCTGGGTTGATTCTTAACTGATGGAGCCACCAAGTCTCCCCAAGGTACATATTTTTAGTGTAATAAGGCCAATAATGCCTGTTGCTTAATGAAAAAACTTGTGTTAGATTTATTCAGATAGGAATTTTGACATAAAGTGATGATTGCGGTTCTCCTCTTTTTTATGTTTCAATGGCTAGTTTTGCTATTTTTTAAAAAACGTTTATGTTAAGGTGTATAGTTCACATACACGAATTCCAAGTGCACAATGTAATGATTCGACAATTCTGTACATTGTGCAGTGCTCACAATAAGTGTAGTTACCACTTATCATCCATACACATTTTGTTGTGTTATTTTTCGAAGACATTTAAAAGCAAACTGATTTCTAGAGAATAGACCATAAGAATACTTTTTCACTAAATGTAATGTTTTTTGTTTTTTTGGGTTTTTTTTTTTTTGGTTTAATTAGTTTTGTTAAAGCTTTTAATAGAATTTTCTTTTGCTAAGTGGTAGAAACCAGTATTCTTGCAACTAAAAAAGTAAATAAAAATTTAATGGGCAGTGCACAAAGTACTTTCCATATATACTTTCTCTGAAACCTATACCTTTGTTTTGATCCTTTAACATTTTGGATACCTGTGTGTTTGTGCTTAGAAATTAGAGATTTCTGGGGCACCTGGGTGGCTTAGTCGGTTGGGTGGCCAACTTCAGCTCGAGTCATGATCTCACCGTTCGTGGGTTTGAGCCCCATGTCGGGTTCTGTGCTGACAGCCAGCTTAGAGCCTGGAGCCCGTTTCGGATTCTTTGTCTCCCTCTTTCTCTGACCCTCCCCTTCTCACGCTGTCTCTCTCTCTCTCTCTCTCTCAGAAATAAATAAAATGTTAAAAAAAAATAAAATAAAAAGAAATTAGAGATTTCTTTTTGGCTTAAGTAAAATCTTGAAGGATTGGTTTATGTTTAGGTTTCCTGGCTTCATTTCTGGAAGGTAGTTTTCTAGGATAAAGATTGTTAGAAGAAATTATTGCTGTTACATAAAGTCTTTTCATTTTAAACCTTTTACTGGTTATTGGAGCCATTTGAATGGCTCATCATTAGTGAGAGAAGGAATTTCATTTTTCTGTAAGTTGGACTGTAGTTTTAACTTAGCCACATCAGATACTTTCCTCTTGGTCTTCTTTCTGGTGCTGCTGGGAGCATGGAGATGGACACAGGTTGGCCCCCTGTGGCTGCAGCTCCATCTGGCAGCAATAAAAAGGCTGCTGGGACTGAAGGCCCCTGAAAAGAACATGTCTTTTATTTTGGGTGGTAGCCCCTGGTGAGTAGAAGACCTTTTTTTTTTTCCCCAAACTCAGTTAACTTTATTGAACATGTGAAAGGCTGATGAAATTGAGCTGAGAATAAAGATTAAAATCTCACCCTTGGACTGTTTCTGAATGGTGCTTTACTGAACACTTTCCTAAATAATAAGCTTTACATTTAAATTGTATTTTCCTTCATATATGGGAAGCATTGGAATAATTGGACCCAAGCCTGTCTTCTCTTTTGTTCTTTCTGGCCCCATAGTTAGATGTAAGTGGGACAAAACTAATTTGTTTGAAGAACGGCACTTTTGAAGGTTGTCTTTCTTTTTCTCCTGCCAGGGAGGACATGTATGCCCAGGACTCTATAGAGCTACTAACAACATCCGGCATCCAGTTTAAAAAACATGAGGAGGAAGGAATTGAGACCCAGTACTTTGCCGAACTTCTTATGACATCAGGGGTGGTCCTCTGCGAAGGGGTCAAATGGTTGTCATTTCATAGGTAAAAAGATTGCACTGAAAATGGCATTTTTATTTGCATTTCCTGGCTGCTTCATGCCTGGTGTGGGTCACTGTTTCCGCAGTTTCAGGCTCAGTTCTACAAGGAATTGGAGGCCACATAGCAGTCTCCTCTTTTAAGAAGCTAATATCGGTCTATTTAAGGTTTAATTTAAAGATATGTGATTCATTTTTGCCTATGGGAGTGACAGTATTGCATAGTGGAAAGAGTGAGACTGGAAAAGTCGATCTTGGTTTAAATCCATCAGTGCCTTGTGGAATCAGTGTTACCAAGAGTTATTTAATGTTTCTGAGCCTTAGAATGAAACCATTCCTGGGGCACTTGGGTGGCTCAGTGAGCATCAGACTTGGGCTCAAGTCATGATCTCATGGCTTGTGGGTTCAAGCTCTGCGTCGGGCTCTGTGCTGACAGCTTCGGATTCTGTGTCTCCCTCTCTTTCTATCCTTTCCCCTGCTCACACTCGGTCTCTCTCATCTCAAAAATAAATATTAAAAAAATTAAAGAATGAAACCATTCATTAAAAAATTATTTAATATCTACCAGTGCCAAGCACAATGATACAAGATTTTAGGGATTAAGCTGTGACTAAAACAGACTAAACTTATTCTCATGAAGTTTATATTTTGGTGGGAGTTGGCAGGTTTTAACGATAAAATTTATATTGTGGTTTGTTAGATGTTGATAAGTGCTGTGAGGAAAAAAGCAAAGAGAATGCTAGGGGTGGATGGGTGTGCTGGATTTTAGGGTTTTTTTCTTTTTCAAATAGAGTGATCAGTAAGACATCACTTAGGTAAATAACTTGTTTTAATGATCGATAATAACATGTTTTGAGCATCTAGTAAACAGCTTTGCACACATTAAGTTCTCAATAAATGGTCATTTTTAATTTTTTGTTATTATAAAACTGGATTGTTGAAGAGAATTTTTAGGAAGTGAATTAGTTCATTTTGTACAAACAGACTTCCAGGTAAGACAAAGAGTTTTCCTGTCTAGGTGAACTAAATTAAACTGGAAGCCCAGGGACTAAAAGTGGCCTTGGGAATGATTTTCTTTGACCTTTTGCTATGTCTTTAAAAAGCACTGTATTATTCTTACATCGGGTCCATTTCACACATATTTTTAAAAAGTCAGAGTCTCCTGTGTGCTTTAGAATTTCCAGCTCTGATCTGTGTGGAATGATTATAGTGAAGGAGTATTGTAAACTCTGCTTTAGTACTAAGCAGTAATTTTTGAGTTGGGGGTGTTGAACATACCAATTCTTACCTGTCCTCTCTTTCTTCTTCATTTGAGCCTCTGCCACAGGAGACCAGACCCAAGCCTCTGTTATTTGAGGAATGTGTTTTCAGCTCTTTTTTTGACTTTCCTGGTCATGACCAGAAAGCATCATCTTCTGTATATGACCGATTCTTCGATTCAAAAAGTACTCTGAGCAAATACTGTGTGTTAGGCACTGGATATTAAAATGAACAAAAACAGAAAGGGTTCATGTCTTCTTAGAGTGTGGAGTCTAAGTTAGACTCTAGTATTTGTCAAGATTTTATTCTAAATGTCATTAACTGTTTTCTTCATATTGTAGCCTATTTTTAGGAGATCAAGACTAGTTTAAGAAATTACCAGAAATGTAAAAGTTTCTGCTGTTAGTATTCATTAATGGTTTTCAATGGTAAAACTTCTTTTCACAATTAGAAGTAATTCTGAACATTAAATAGAAATTTTATTTCTAAAAAATACCCAAAAGATATATTAATAGCATCTCTCATCAAATATTTACTGAGTTCCAACTATGTGAAATAAAAGTTTTTTTAAAGATATTTTTTAAAATGTGATTCCTACTAGACTAGTGGAAAACACATTTGTTTCAAAGGGTAATACAAGAGAACAGTTTGCATACGAAATCATGGGGAGCTAGACTCTGCAGGGAAGGCATCCTGTAAGAGGTCCTTGAAGGAAAGGTGGATGGGGAAAAAAGGCTGTGTAATGATGGCACGGGAGTGTAGGGAGGTACAAGGCTGTGGAAAAAGCTGAACAATTGCAGTAGGAAATCTTGATTTGAAAGTGTGGGAGTTAGTATTTAATCTCTGGCTAACACTTTTCAGTGTTTACTACTTTTACTTTTTCCGTCTACAACATTCCCCTTATTATATCTTGAGTCATAATGAGACAGGAAGAGAATTTTGAGGGAAAAGAATGATTGAAGTCACTTAAGGAAATAAGGTATTTCATTAGGGAATTACTCTTTGGATTTTAAAGTACATGACCTCTTTATATAAAATATGGGAAGATTTGTAATATTTTTGCCAGTTCTGCTACCTTTTGACCTTTTTAGCCTAAGGTTTCCATTCATCTTTATTTTTCCATTTCCATAGTTACTTAATTTTTTGAGACATTTCTGGGTCGTTTGATACCCTTCTAAAAGTTTTTCTTTCAGAGATCGTCAAATTGTAGCCTAGCGACTGCAGGCTCGGGATGCTAGTATAGGTCTTATATTGGTATCTTTGAATGAAAGTGGCATGTTCATCTTTGTTGGGAAGATGATGGCATTTTCCCGTTATCATTATAAACGTATCTGTTTTCTCTATTCTCGTGTGCATTTTTAAAATTTTTTGGTTGATTCCTTTTTTGACTATGCTTAAGAGTCATTTAAAATTTGTATCATGAAAAAAATTTTTTCATCTCTGTGTTATTTATGTGCCTCTGTTCTGTATTTAACCCTTTTGTAGTGGTTATGACTTTGGCTATTTAATCAAAATCCTGACCAACTCTAACTTGCCTGAGGAAGAACTTGACTTCTTTGAGATCCTTCGGTTATTTTTTCCTGTCATATATGATGTGAAGTACCTCATGAAGAGCTGCAAAAATCTCAAAGTAAGGTTTCAAGTAGCTTTATGTGTAATGCACACACTATTTAGACTAAGTGACTGATAAATGAGATCCTAGCCTGGGATGTTTTTAGCCATATTTTGGATTTTGAAATGCAGTTACATTATCTGGTCATTTAATTCTATTTCTTGCATAAATAATTTATAGAAAATCCTTTTTCAGAGCTTCATATATACTGGCAGAATAAGTTTTCAACAAAGTTCAAACCAAAAGTCAGATTTTTGTCACTGACAGATTGAAAATCATAAACCTGCACAAAAATGTGAGGGCTAGTGAGCTCTCATGCACAGAAGCATAGGTTCTCACTGTCCAGCCTGCCCATACTCCATCCAGGCCAGATAAATCCAAGGTGGCTGTCAACATGCAGGTGCTGCGGTCAGTAAGGTGGCAGAGTTTTCTCTTCAGCTTGGAGGGGAATTACTTTGTTGCATCTAGTCACAGGATCATGTTCCTAGGATTAACTTACATGGCTAAAAGGGCTTTTTTTCCCCCCTGGCTCAAAAGATGTCATGTGGTTAGTAGTAAGTGCTAGTAATGTGCAGGTCCTGTCTAGACAGTAGCTTGCATTCTGACTCTGCTGAATGAGTGCGTAATAATTTGCTACTTCTGAACATTAATTTCTTCCCAAAGGAACTTTAAGAAGTACAAGTAGAAGCTCCTTCAGTTTGGGAATGAACTCACTCATGGTGGCATAGACTGCTAATGAGTAGAAGGGCTTATTTTTTTTCAGAGGTGTTTGTATTTAAGCTGCAACTAAAAGCACATTTCGGTAAAGTGGTGGCTTCATAGAACCTACATGAAGGTTGATCACATTTTCTTACCAGGTTTTTAGAAGTGCAAAAAAAAGTTAGACTTTTAGGAGATGGTAAAAACTTTCAGAGTTTTACTTTTAGCCAGAAGGAAACAAGAAGTAAGGAAACCTTGCATTTGACAAGTGAACTCAAAATCAGAAGAATAGTAGCATTCTGGCCGAAGTTTGCTTGCTTTTTTACAGAATATGGCATATAAATGAGGAAATTTTTAAGGATTACTTCATGTTTGTTGCATCTCTAAGAGGAACAGAATTCTGCAGTTTGAAGAGTGACTCTAAGTGAACTTGCAGTAGGCTGGCCTTATTGCTGTAGGAACTCAGTCCACCCCTTGAAAGTATTATATGCTGAGAATCCATGGCCCCAATGTTTTAATCTGGCTTTGGAAATACTTTTTAAAATCTGACATACCTCTACAATGACATTTTTCAGGAACAAAATGAAATTATTGCTCACTCTGTGTATGATACTGGAAAACTTCTGAGTATACCTGATAATTCTGATGCCCTGAGTATACCTGATTCTTATGCCCTAAGTGAGCTGCTGTGTTCAGTTTAGGTTAATGACAAAGGTGCTTTTTGACCCACTGTCAGCCATGCTGAATGACCCTATTCTGTTGCTGTCCTGAGCAGCTGCTGATGATACCTAAGCCTCATGTTATTTTTAGCACAGAAGCAAGTGCTATCTGTGCACAGCACTGTTTCAAGCTGTGAAGCAGAGGAGGGTTAGTAGAGAGGAATTTGTGCTGCTTTTGTTGTTTGACCTCATCTTTCTTTTCTTAGTCCCCTGCTACTCCCCCCCCCATTATTCTGCTTCCCTCTATTCCTTTGTATTTCTTCTCTTTTATTCTTTTTTCTCTTCCTTACTTTCACTCCTTTCTTTTTTAAGCCTGGCAATATTTTATAAGCAGATACTTAGCAGACCCTTCTAAGGATTTGTAGTCTTTTAACAGGCAGGGACTGTAATGGGCAAGTGAAGGCAATTGTCAAACTTCTTTGCACGGCCTCTGTCCCTGCTTTTAACAGCATGCTCTTCTTGTTAACAAAACCATAATTAAGCACTTAGTGAATTTTTAAGGATTTGGTTAGTTATAATAGCTTTGTTTTGTACAAATTACTTAGATGAAACTATTTAGAGATTGGTAAGAAGCTTAAGAAAATTTTATAGGACCTGCCGATGGTCAGTTTTCTATCGATGGATGGATTGACTTTGAAGGTACTTAATAAATGTCCCCAGTATACCTGTCCCCTTGTATAGGATCTTTTCCCCCCATAGTTTTAGGAAAGTTACATGCCATAAAGCATATGATGAAGATAAATTTTCCCAGTTAGGATCTCATTGCCTACTAAATCTAAACTTCCCTCATACTCCACAAATACTTTCATTTGTAATTCAGTCTCTTTTTTTCTAATCTTCATAAAGTCCAGCTTTCCATGCTAAAGTCCGTTCATGTTTTGGTTAATGTCTAAGTGAGGTTCTTTGTGAATTTGGGTATTGTATGGTTTCTGTTTTGACAGACAAGTTTTCTTTCTTCTAGGGTGGTTTACAGGAAGTTGCTGAACAGTTAGAGCTGGAACGGATAGGACCACAGCATCAAGCAGGATCTGATTCATTGCTCACAGGAATGGCCTTTTTCAAAATGAGAGAAGTATGAAGACATCAGTGCCTTTTTCTCAGTTGGTTGTTAGGTTGAGAACATTAAAAATCTTATGGCAAAAGTTTTTGGGCAGTAAGTGTTATTAAATGAAGATACAATTAGAGGTACCTTGGAATTTGTGTCCACCATGCTTGAATGAAAATATTCAAAAATAAGTCCTCTTGAAATGTAGTTCAGAAGTAAATGAAAAAATGAGTTCTTCATAAACTGGAAAATGAAACAATTTAAACTACTTTAGGAGTCCTAAAGGTCCAATCATACTATTTCTTAGATGAAAAAACTGAAGCTAGAGGCTAGTAGCTTTTATCCAGGGTCTCACACAATACTAGTGGGCGAACGCCAGCATTCTTTCTATAACCACATCAGTGCTGCTGCTGCTGAGTCAAGGAGTCTATTCATTAGGTTTCCCCGGCATTGTCTTCTCTGGTAAAATACCATTTGCTTATGCCGTTTTTCAGCATTTTGAGGATTTATAGGGTAGTGCTTATGTAGTGCTTTTAGTAGACGGAGTCTTACAAAAGTTTCTGAATTCTCAAGTGGTTAAGTGAATCTGAAGTAGTTGTAGAATCAAAAATAGTATCAAGCAGAGCCCTATAAGTGGCAATAGACAGAAATGAATGAACCCAAGTCTACTCCTAGCTTATGTATTGAAGTGATACACGCAGGTATACCTCAGTGTAAATTAAATGCAAAGAAAAGAAAGTTTTCCTTTTTGCAGAATACAACGTAGAATTCTTTTGAGTATATCCTCTTAGACGCTGAAGAATAAGAATTAGCTTGAAATTTAAAACTTTTGTAGCAGTGTATTAATAATAGAAAACGTAATAGGTGTTTGCCAAGTATTGATTCAGAAATGATTTGGAATGTCTATTCGTGACAAGTAAATACTTTGTTTTGTACTTCTTCCCAGTGCTACATTAGAGAATTAAAAACAACCTTTTGGATTTTCAGCTTTGCATTTTAGAAATACCTTAGTGATTCAATGAATGGTGGATTCTCTGCTACTAGTGTGTTATCTTTATTTTTCTTGGCTTCTTTACGAATAGTTACCTAATGTGAATGTTCAGATTTTAGTGTCCAGACATGGTTAGGGTTTGATTGTTTCCAGCCACAACCTTGCATGTAAACTCGAGGCTCCTTGCCTGACCTTTTCTCCCATCATTGGCCATATTCATTCATCTTCATTGTTAAATGTTAAATTTATGGAATAAAAATGCTTGCCATTTTCCCATGATTCTAAATTCTCATAAAATTTGTCTAAATGTTAATAGGAAAGACACATTTATACATTTTTTTTTTGTAATCTTTTTCTTTGGTTTCTTTTGAGCTCTGTACTTCTTGGAAACATTAGTTTTACTCATTGAATTTGAACATGTGTGGCCTTAAAAAGGATCACCATAGAAAAGAGCTGTCATTTTAGTTAATGAACAGTCAGTACTTACATTGCTGAAATATAAGTTACCAGTGGTACCTTTTGGTTAAAATTATCTTTTTTTTTTTCCCCAAAATTCCTTTTTAGATGTTCTTTGAAGATCATATTGATGATGCCAAATATTGTGGTCATTTGTATGGCCTTGGTTCTGGTTCATCCTATGTACAGAATGGCACAGGGAATGCATATGAAGAGGAAGCCAACAAGCAGTCATGACATGAAATAGTCCTTTTATTTTTATTTGAGCTACACACGAGCTTGTATATAGGTTTTATCTCTGGTTGAATCCCTTGAGCAATAGATAATACTATTTTTTTTCTTTCATAGCCCATTTTATTTTCTGCCTTTCAGTACTAGTATGACCATTCCTATCTCAGATCTTAATAAATAGAAAAGCATTCAGGTTAAATTTGGCCTTAATATCCTTGTTAGCAGGCATGTATGACAGAGTGGGGAAGGCTGCATCATACTGAATATTTTGATAAACTTTTACCTGCCTGGGCTTGGTTTGTTTTTCTCCCTTCCTAAATTAACTAGCACTGACTATAATTTATTTCCCTGTTTCATGTCTCCCTTCCATTCTACAGGACTTTTAGCTATTTGAGATTGTGGACCATCAATTTTGCACTTTAGAGAGTGATTCTGACTCAAGTCCTCTGTTTTATCAGAAATTTTGGCTTTTCTTGCTCTTAGCTGGAAAAATGACCCATCTGCCAATCTTACACAGTATTTACTTGTTTTTGACCCATGGAAATAGCACATGCATTGTGCAAACGGTTGATTCAGCAAGACTTCAAAAACAAAAGACAAAAAACTACTAAGGAGCTTAGTAACTGCTGTTTCTGTACGTAGTGTTTAATCTTCCAAGCACATCTAGTGTCTGTCAGTTTCTCATTGGCATGTGTAGGCTGCTCTGACTGAGGAAGTTTTCAAACCAGCTTTACACCCTTCAGGAACAATCCCTTGTGATTGGATATTTAGCGTCTGCCAGGAAACTGGTACCCAAGATATTGAAGCTGCAGTTATGATAGCACACTTCCCTTTGATCTGCTTCGTTTTATTCTGTCACTGTTTACCCTTATTTCTAATTTTTAAAAAATTTTATAGCCATACTTAATGACGCTCTTGCTTTGTTGATTCCACAAACCAGTTTCTTTAAAGTCCAAAGATAGCAAATCTTTAGGTATATTTTGTACCAGATTAAATTAGAAGACAAAAAATTGTGCTTTCATAGTTGTTACTAAGATAAGTAATGGAGAGATTTGGTGCAAAACAACAAAATACAAAAATATATTCTATATATAAAGTCATATATATATGTGTGTGTGTATATATATATATATGACTATATATAGCTAATAAAATTACCTGAGGAGTGTAATGCTTGTTTATTTTTTTGTGTATATCTTTGCAATCTATTTTATATATATATTGACAAAAGAGACTGTGAAATATTTAGCCATGCAGAATATGTGACCAGACCAGAGCATGTGTAGGACGACATTCTGGTAATCATTAACTCTGCCCTGAAATGATAGACTACAAGTTACGGATGTGTGTTATCTACATTTCAATCAGTAATATTAGAGAATCTCCAAATGTTAGCTACATTAGTTTGTTTCCTTTGTACATTCTTTATTCATGATATTACAATGCTGTAACTGGGTGGTCCTTTTTAAACAAAACGTTATTTGCAAAACAGAGGATATTTGTTTTTAAAGCTTTTGTAAATAAAGGCTTCGGAAATGTTTTCTTATATATGTTGATGACTGGTAATTTTTAAAAATATTTGCTTTTTTTTTTTAAATATGAGCAACTGAATACAACTCAGTAACTTCTTTAACTGTAGCTAATTATTAGTCTTTTACTTGAGCCTTCTGTATTGCAACACTGTTGGCTTATTTATGAATACCTCAATGATATGTTAGGAATTAATTTTTATGTCCTTTCCAAGAATGCATTTATTCTTCTGAAAAACAAAGTACATTTGGTATGACTTACTGTGGCTTCTTTTTAAAGCTGACAGAATACAGCAGGTAATCTGGTTTCTTCTTATTTTGCTCTTCACCTCCTTAAAAAAACAGGAATTACAAAGGTTCCCTTTTGAATAGCCACATAGTTGCTGAATTTCATGGTTTGTATCAATTTTGCTTATTGTCTCTTAAGAAGTAGTAATATTTTATAACTTCTGTAAGAGGAACAGTAAGATCTTTGCTAAATCTAGCTTTTGGGTATAAGATATTTGGCTGATAGTTTTGTAATGTTCGTGCGTCATTAATTCTAGACTCCCCATACTCTCAATTCTGCTGGAGCAGGTCGGCACACCATGGCCTACGGACCCAAACCAGCCTGCTGCCTTTTTCTTTTTTTTTCTTTTAATGGCTAGTGAGATAGAGGAGAATGTTTTTTACAGTTTTAAAATGGTTGGGGGAAAAAAAAATCAAAGGATTAGTACTTACTGACCTTTGAAAATTACATGAAGGTCACATTTTAGTGTCCACAACTAGTTTTATCAGAATGCAGCCACATTCATCATTCCGGCACTGTCTGTGGCTACCTTGGCGCTACAGGGGGAGCCTGAGGGGCTGCTACAGAGACTGCTTATCGCAGTCTCCTCATTGCTCATCCCTTTGTGGTAAGCTGCAGCGTCAGTGGTGCGGATCGACGTGCCTCGTTTATCTGTACATCATCATTTTATGATTTCCTCTGTTACCCGTTCATATCCATTATGTCAAGACAAGAAAACTGAACTTTGAATGATGTGCCTAGAAAGCACAGAGTGGATTACTTTCCCACGTTATATGGTCAAATACTGTTTATTATGCAATGACACAGTAACTGCACTAAAAAATACACCGTATGCTGACAAAACCACACCAAGCAGTCATCACAACATACCCAACTACTGGGAAAGCAACAGAACTAGAAACTAAAATGGAATAGCTCATCACATCATGATTTCTTCACAAAAGTAAGAAATGGAAATGAGACTATAACCACAGTATGTTTATGACTGGCCCATTTGTTAGCCAAACAAAGTTATTACTTTTTGAATGCAGTAGCCCAAAGAAATGTGTCTCGTGAAAATTTACAGACTTAGCCTTTTGTGAAAAACAGTTGGATGAAGAGTGAGAACACTGGGCACAACATCAACAGTTAATTATAAAACAACAAATGATTTTGGTATTTTTCTTTGGCTCTTAGGTTAGATGTTCTATAGTACTTTACCAGCTATTATTCTTTATTTGAGAAATCAATGCTAAGTTTGATGTGGCCATTCAGGCATCGGTTTCTTTTAGTCGTCTGGAAATACAGGTGAGACTTTTCAAGGAAGTTGGGAAACCACTAAGTTAGTACAACCTGAAATCTAAGATGTGACAATAAGTGCGAAATATGTAAAAATCTGCAAGGAACAGAAAAACGGTTAGTTGGCCAAATTTAAGACCTTGTGAAAACGTATAGCGTTCTGGTGTGGCAGGTACCCATTTCACTTCCGTCGTGCACCTTTTGTTTCCTTTTTTTCTAAACGAGAATAAACGCTGTTTATTGTTAGCTCGTGTCTCAGACCAGTGCAAAGACCCTGTGAAAAGAGAGTAAACTAAGAAAATCATAGCTGAGCTATACATATGTGTACAGACTCTCCTAAAGAACTTAAGACCATGACTGCATGTTACACTAAGATGAGTGTGTAATTAATTTTAATAATATTCACCTTTCACAATAAATGTTTGATTAAGTCATTTGAGATGCTTTTAATACCAGGCCTTAGGGAGCTCTCCTTACTGACGGAAAAAGACATGAACTCTACCTCTGACAACAGCCTTGCTTTCAGAGTTAAATAAAAAACAGAAGAACTGAAACTCTGTGACAACAATTTTAATTCAGCATCAACAGAATTCTACTTTGGAACATTTTTTCTCATTTTAATGAAGCACCTTTATCTGTCAAACAAGAACTATTAAGTATTAATAAATTCAGATCCGAAGAGCTCCTAACACTGGAGAACCTTCCCTGGAAGATGCAATGTAAATGATAGTTTTTAATCAATCATAAAAGCGTCCCGTCCTTTCCGAGTACTGAGGAGCTCCTTCACAGCGCAAGCCAGAGCTTAAAATCACTTCTCACAAGGCCTCCTTTGGTTTCCCTAGTACTCAGAAATAAGTCCACTCAGAAGATACATCCTCTTAACAGACATTTTCCCCCAACTGTAAGCTGATAAAGACCGAATGCTGGCTACAAACAAGAACATCAAAGGTCTCTCTGGGCACTGTCCCCAATTTTGTTTTTGTGAAGAAGCTGCAAGCGATCTGCGGTTGTCTTTTGCCGAGATGGTCATATTTGAACTTTTTGTTGGTGGGAGAACAATTAAGGGATGAGCTCTTAGTAACCTGGCGTGTATTACGGTAAAACATCCTCGAATGTACATCCTCTTTTTGAGGATGGAAATACACTGAACATTATACCAGGGGACATATGTATTTCAAAAGAGGGAAAATCTGCTATTTTTTAATAGAATGGACTAACAAGTTTTTCACAGGTTGTTTTCTCAAAGCATGAATCACACGATTAATAACGTCATTTTTCAAGAACATGTTTTATAAATCCTTTGATTTTTCTAGAGACGGTAGTTTTTGTCAAACATGCCATATTTCCCATACTTAGCTGTTGAAATGAACGCAGCGTACTCGTGTTTTACAGTATGTTTCTAATTGTCCTCAGAATCACTTTACTAATAAATCATGATCTCGTGCTGTCATCCACCTCTTCTCAAACGACCTTTGTTATGGCCAGATTGTAGATCAGTTTTGTCTGTAGTAGCTCTGGTAGACCATTAGGAAAAGTGTATCTTGAAAGCAATTTCGATTGTCAATGCAAAGGCAATTTCATATAGACAGCTAATAATGGTGATCAACCAGACTTTATTACGGTAAAACAGGAGGGAATTCATGGATAAGCACTGCCTTGAATGTCTCATCATTAACAGATGCAATAGTGTTATCTTTGAAAATACAAACCCTCTTCACTGCACAATGGCAAATAGTTAACTAAAGTATATGAAGTATTTGCACAATATTTTTAAAAAAAATCTTAAAAATGTTATCTATATGGCAGAATTTCTAAAAACAGGAAAAATCAAAATTAACAAGTGGACTATTAGGACAGCTGAAGTATAAATGTCTTCAAGTCTGAGTTGAGCAATTAAGTTTTTTAAAGCAAAATGCTTAAAATGTTTTTAAGGTACATTTTATAAATATGTACAAAAATGTAGTCCTATCTGATGCTTTTTTCACTCAGGTAAACTTTACACTGCATATCTAAAGAGATATGCCATCATCTCTAAAAATTCTGACCACCGAGATTAAAAAAAAACAAAAACAAAAAAACACCTTGAAAGATTGTTCACTGTATGGAAACAAAAAGGGAACCACTGCAACTTAATGGAAAAAAATTTATTTGTAAAAATTTTTTTCAACTGATTCTAATGTGTATCGACTCTTCATGTATAGCAATAATTACACAAAAGACCTAAAGGGGGGGAATTTTAATAGTAGTCTAGCAAGGTAAGCAATAAAAACCGCACTTTTTTTCTTAGCTTCTATTTTGACAAGAAGGAACACCTCACAAAATTCGGTCCCAAGAGAATGGCTATAGTACTGTGCTTTGCAAAACCTGGCTGCACGTAGTTCTTATTACATCACGTGATGCTGTTGCCCTTAAGGCTCGTAGCAGTAGCTATAGGTTCCAACCTGGCACTTCAGGTGGTAAAAAATGATGACCAAAAATGCTTTGAAAGTAATAAGTAAAAATGCATCATATCTTCTGAGATTTCCTGAAACAGATTGTCAGATCAAAGTCTTTAGGTTTAACCAAAAAAATCTGAAAGAGTGCCGCCCTACTGTTCAAAGAATTGCACTCAAATGATCTATAAAAGGGACTTGCCTGACACTGGTCCTTTCATAAACTCATTCAAATATAAACTTTCTATTTTTCGAAAGAAGTAATGGCAAGGATCTTTTTACTCCATTATCCTCCAGTTTCCTGGTCTCTTCAGTGTTGCACTTTTGTCTAATTCAGATTTTGAAAAGTGTAATACCATTTTCTCTTTGATTAAATACTGGTTCCTTAACTGTGTTACGTTTTAAAAGATAATCTGCTTTAAAATCTCAAAAGCAGTACCAGAAACTGTTTAAGCTTATTCTAATCTCTAACATTTACAAAACTTACACTCCACTCAAAAAACGAATTAAAACCTTTTCAAATAGTGCGTACAAGGCACAAGAGCTTCCTAGTATATTTACTGAAGCCGAGCGTTTTGGCATTAACACACACACCACGTTAGTTTACCTTAAACTCAATTTCCGAACTGTGCGCCATTTAGTTCAGGCTGAACTAAATTTCTGAGGATTTTTTTTAATGATTTGCATAATTTAATCTTAAGTATTTGAAGAACTATAAAGTTTAACTGTCATACTTTTGATGAGGGGGGGACACAAATAATATAGACACCAACGGAGGATTAATCTATTGGCCCATTGGGAATGCTAAACAAATTCAATACTTTTGCTCTGTTCAGTAGAATAAATAACCTAAAAAAAAAAAACAAAAAAACCTGAGATTTTCAAAAAAGCCATATTGGTGAAAAAACATCATAAACTAATCATAATTGTTTTTATAGATTTTGTCCCAGTTTAAGAAGATTGGAAGAGATGAAAAATATATCATGGATGTAATAGAAACGTATTAGTTGTGACAACAAATTTGCTAGCTAGTTGCTTATCAGCGAGCTCAGTCTTCAGTCAATGATCACACTTATATTTTCCAGCAGGGAACAAAGACTAGAATTAAAGTCTGGCAAAAAATGATGGCAGTCTTCAAGCATAGGCCACTCAAAATTTGCAATGAATTCATAGTCCTTAGAGTTCACTCTGTCTGGGGCTGGATTCACAGCAGAGAGAAGAAACAAGTCCGACAGGCTACCTCCCGTCATTGGTAACTAACAGGTTTTAAGTAAAGCTCTCATTATACTGTAATTTGAAATCTTCTAAATTTCAATACCTTAATAGTCTCAATTTTCTGTATCAGAAAATCAGATGGTTAATGGGCTTTCTATGTGTATACACTATACTACCCAAATATTTGGGTGAAAACTAGCCCATGAATTTATTCCAAGTTTTTATGATAGAGGATATTTTTGCCCTTGATTCATAAACTGTAATTACTTTTAATATTTAACAGGAATCTGTGTTAGTTGAAACAATCTGTATACTGGATTTTTAAAAAATGTGTTATATTTTAAGCAACGGCTTGGAGAGAACTAACCAATTCATATTCTGCATATCCAGCCACCGAGAAGTGGGAACCACAGGCCTGTGGTGCCTTCCTATGGGAAGCCTCTTCCATACACCTGCAGCGCTGATGCCTTGAAATGAAACAGAAATCATGAAACTATTAACTATAAAAAACAAAAAGCTGACCAATTCATTCAATGCTTGTTGAATAACATTCCTTGTTCAGAATTAAATGTTTTCTATGCTGGAAAACTCAGATGTATTCTTGAATACGGACCTCTTATCCGTGCTTGTCAAGGTCTAATATGCATATACAAGGCCAGAGGATCTTGTTAAAATCCAGAAAATGCAGATGCTGATTCAGCAGGTCCAGGAGAAGGTCTGAAATTCGTACATTTCTAAAGAGCTCCCTCCCAGGTGGCGTGGCTGCTGCCGGTTTGGGGCCCCAAAGCCACTGGCAGAACTGCTAGTTCCAATTTGTCGGAGGCCAGGAGGAGTTTAGGAGTGCCAGCTGAGGTGGATGGGGATGTAGGAAAATCATTTTGCAACTTCATGTGCACCGAAGCACAGCATTTTTTTTTTTAAGTTTATTTATTTTTGAGAGAGAGAGCGAGGCAGGGGCAGAGAGAGGATCCCAAGCAGGTTCCACACTGTCAGTGCGGAGCCTGCGGGGCTCAAACTCATGACCTGTGAGATCATAACCTGAGCCGAGATGAAGAGTCAGAAGCTTCACTGACTGAGCCACCCAGGCCCCCTGAAGCAGAGCATTTTTTTCCTTGTATAACAGGGAGGGTTGAAAAGGCTGAATTTTACTTACACATTAGTGCTACCATGAGTCTAGGTACATAACAATCTGCAAAGTATGATGAACTAATAAATGTTTTATAAAAAGCCCACAATTTATTAATATACTTCAAAAAGAGAAGAAATGAACATATCATTCAGAATATATGAGATTAGATAATATTCTTCAATATCAGGTGCACTGAACAAATTGCAAGTCTGAGATGTAAAGCAGGAAAAACTATTTTTAAAACTTTTAAAAACAATTTGGAGTATCAGCTACTTTGGGAAAGTTCAAATTTTAAAGAAACATTTAAATGTCCCTGGTTATGTTAATATATAGAATATTTAACACATATATGTGACCTCACAAAATGGTAATTAGAATTAATGATTCAAAATACAGAAAAAACATCCCATGAAACTTTATATGCTTTATGGAATTAGTATAACATTTTATTTGTGGTATTATTTAGTAATTCAATAATTGTGTATGCACAGTTACATTTTAAGAATTTCCTCCAGAGAGGCACCTGGGTGGCTCAGTTGTTTAAATGTATGACCTTGGCTCAGGTCATGATCTCATAGCTCATGAATCTGAGCCCTGAGTCAGGCAGGCTCTGTGCTGACAGCTCAGAGTACTCTCAAAAGTAAATTAAAATAAATTTTAAAAATTTCAAAAAGAATTCCTTCCAGAAATTTAACATCTTTTCTTTGTTATTTAACCAAATGAAATTTTCACTATCCTACCCATAGTTATGATTAATCTGATCTACTACAACATCCTCTACAGTCATGTAAAACCAAAACATCAGCCAACGGGCAAATTCCCAGATCAGTTTTTTGCTGTTACTGCATAGCTGCTTATGAAAAATAAAACTAAGAAATGGATTTAAAAAACAGAAACAACAGATTCAGAGGATTAAAATGGGTTAAAAACCAAAGAAAACCACGCAGATATCGAGGAGATACTGACACAAATAATTTTGTTTTACATACCAGTCTCTTCTTTTTAGACTTCAAGATTCTAGATTGCAGTTTTATAAATAGAGATTTGTCTTGGTAACTTTACTGTTCAACTCTATACTGTGTTTCTTATAAGAGTACACATAATTGTGTATTTTTTTTAGATGATTATGGCTTTGTCCCAAAGCAGCTTTTTATTATATTAACTGCAGGCTTATAAATAAATTATCTTTTAAAGAAATTGATTTAGAACAAGTTTAAAAAATTTAATGGTTTTGGGGCACCTGGGTGGCTCAGTCAGTTAGGGGTCCAACTTCGGCTCAGGTCATGATCTCATGGTTCGTGGGTTCGAGCCCCACGTCAGGGTCTGTGCTGACAGCTCAGAGCCTGGAGCCAGTTTCAGATTCTGTGTCTCCCTCAGTCTCTGCCCCTCCCCTGCTCACACAGTCTCTCTCTCAGAAGTAAATAAAACATTAAAAAAAATTTTATGGTCTTGAGAAAATGATTTGGAACACTTGCTACTTTAACACTATGCCACAGGGTGCTACTGTAACCCCAAATAGGGATGCTAGAGGTCTGCTCTAACAAGATATAATTATCTTGCACTTAGACCAGTGAGAGTCTACTGACAGATGGTCAAGGATATAACCGCTGTAATATGGAAGGGTAGAAAAAAATAAAAATAAAAAACTCCAAGATCCTACCCTATGACAAGATAAATTGTCAAGTAGAGTTCAATATTTTAGGAATAATTTTTGCCATTTAGTGCACTGCTATAAAAATGAATTTTGTTCGTCAACTTATTTCAATTATTTGTCAAGTTAACCTACATACTGGCTACTACTGAAGCTATGGTCCACCTCCAGCGGTCTCCAGCATGATTGATGGGACCCTAAGGGTTAACTAAAATATCTTCAAATCTTAATCACTCAAAAATAAATAATAATGTTTATGGGAACTATGTGCCCTAAGAGAACTGGAAAACTATTAAAATACAGAACATAACAATTAAAAAACTTATCTTACTTTCATAAAGTATGAATTTATTTTGTTTGAAGAGTTAAGTCTCATTTTCCATGGTTAATGCAGGATTGCTCATACCTTCAAGAAAGAACATAAAGAACATAAATTAGCATTTTGGTTTTTTTTGGGGGGGGGGATGTTGCTTCTGAACAAACAGGCAGAGATGAGATTTTTTCATTCCTGATTCCCCTAATATGCTTCCAAAGGTGCCTTGCATGTAGTACAGGTTTGTAAGATGATCATACAGACACACACACACACACACACACACACACACAATACTGTTGACCACTAACAGTGTCACAAAATAGCACTTAAAAAAGAGATATACATCTGATGAAGTGGGAGGGGGGCAGAGAACAAAACCATCAAAGATACTTTGGACCGGGCACTTCTCACGTCATCTTAAAGTACTCTTTCTAATTCTACATTTACCTCCTTCATTCTGGTGAAACTAATCGTTGAGCCCTTTCTCACCTCATCCTTCTCACATTTCTTCCTTCTTTTATATCATCCTTTAGACTTTAAATAAGTTCTCAATTCATCTATCCAAGTAACAGAAAATTAATCTAACATGCCAAATAAGTAACAGCATATAGAAACCAAGAAACCCCTTCTATGTTAATGCAGAACTGTATGAGGAAGCATGAATCCCTTCCAAAAGAAAGGGGGCTGTCTTTCCACCCTCCAAAAATTGACCCCCCAAGTATACATCACTTCTTTGCCTCCAAGGAAACGGACGGATTCAAAGGGCTAATAGGTGTTATCAATTTTTGTTTAGGCAATACCTAGCCCTTCCCATAGGTGGGAAAGTGGAATGGCAGGTGTGAAGGTGGGAGACAGACTAAATCATGAATACTCAAAGGATGGGGATCTCTGGAGAGTACATCTATTCCTTAGGAACAAAACTCTTTAAAGAACACCTATGTTTTAGGAGACTATGACTGATTGTATATTAAATAATGACCTTAAAATTTTTACTTAGGACTCTTGTGTTTCACAATCACTAAATCCCAAAGAGATTTCAAATAAAGCAAACACTTTAAAGTGAAGTGAGCCAGGACATGTGGGTTGGTTAAGTGTCCGACTTTGGCTCAGGTAATGATCTCATGGTTCTTGGGTTCAAGCCCCACATCAGGCTCTGTGCTGAAAGCTCAGAGCCTGGAGCCTGCTTTGGATTCTATGCCTCCTTCTCTCTCTGCCCCTCCCCCACTTGTGCTCTGTGTCTGTCTCTCAAAAATAAATATTAAAAAATAAAAAAAATTTAAGAAGTGAAGTGAACCAAAGTCTGGCAGCACTAGGAGAGAGTTTGAAGAAAGGACTAGAAATGAAGGAGAGATTTTCTGGCGAATAGTGCTTCCATCATGGATGTATGGTTTTACACTCAGTTATAAGGGACACCACACACGTACACACACGCCTGCATGCATGATCGCACGCTTTGGTTAATCCTCACCAACCCTGAGAAATATGTAGCATTAAAAAAAAAAAAAAAAGAAAGAAAACAGTCTAAAAGAGGTGAGGTAACTGCAAATCTCACACACCAATTAGGTGTCCAAATTGGGATTTGAAATCAGGTCTAACTTCAAACCCTTGCATGTTCTTTGCCAATAAACTATACTTACTGATGTAGACACAGATTAAAATCAACAACAAAAACAAGAAATGTGAGTGGGATATGATGAATTAACAGCTAAAGTTATTGTAATCATACAGTCACTTTACTTCGACATTTTGAAACTGGATGGAAATCCTAGAGTAAAAGAATCACATAAATAACATCTTTTTCACTGGATGCTTTTCAATCTTTTGCCTGAGCTGATCACATTTTCCATCAGATACTTATATTTTGAGTATACTTATATCATTTAATAGGCAATAGTTAATATTTGGTTCTTACACTGGGATAAAAGCAATGTAGATCTTTCACAAAATGATCTTCTTCAGCTGACATTAGACATTAACCAAAGGACTTTACAAAAAAAATGTTCCTGAAAATAATTCTAAATTTACAATGGGAATCCAACCTCGAAATTCTGAGGGCAATATGATGGAATTTTTTCACTACCTTCACTTTTTATTAAAGGTGAATAAGCACCTTCATTAAATAAAACAGCCAAATCAGCACAGCCTTACCAGCTTTGATTTTTCCTGGGTTTGCACTACTCTCTGTCCAAGACTGGGAATCCGTGAGAAGGTGACTCTGGGACTCTCTCAAGGGCTTTGCTGGGAACTGATGGTTTTCAGAACTGAATAAGAATAATCATCATCATAATCATCATGTTAATTCTTGATCCTGTTGAGTGTTTCTCAAAGTACAGAATTCAAACAACTTCCCAAGAGAATTTGGGGAACAGGGAATGTGGCATTAAATGACACTGACTCACAACAAGAAAACCGTCCTTCCTTCCATTCTTTTGTCATTCTTCGGAACACAACAAGGTGACAATCTTTAACTTTGGCAAGTCTCCATTTTGAACAGAGAGAATGGGCCTCCGCCTCTGACTTTAGCAGATTAAATTCTAAAATCTAGTTAGAATTTAATAGTATTTTATTATCAATCTTGTTTTTTAAAGTTATATTCTATTTATGGCAATTTATTGTAGGTTTCATTTAAGACAGTAAAGTACTGCATGATTTAAAAATAAGCTTCAGTGCTAATTTAAATAAATATGTTAAATAAAAATATTAGCTTTATAAGTGGTATGTGGATATGGAAAAAAATATGTGAAGGTGATAGGAGAAGACAAGTTTGAGAAAAATCGTCCAAGTGTTACTAAAGTGGCCTAACTAGACTTCAACAGAGAATTCTCTATCTTCCTCTATTAAACTGAAACAAGAATTTTGAGCGCTATCTTGCAGAAGCATTGAAAACATCTGATGACAACATCAGGTTTTACAAGCGTGATGTTTAATTTGGGGAACAAAGAGTCTTCAAAGAAGAATTTAGGTTTTAAAATTTAAGTAGGCATGCTACATAGCAACCTACTGGATAGTGTGAAAATATATAAATTAAAAAATAACATTTCACTCAGAAAAAATATTGGCATAAAAACTGTAAGTATAGTTTTAGAACACCCTGAAAAAGTAATTATAATCACGTTCGGAAGAAAAAAAAATTTCAATTTCTTCCAAGTATAATTTCACATATGTGAGTTGGCTATAACTACTATATTTTTTAAAAAATATACTTTTGCTCCTTAATAATTACCTGTCTGAAATTGGAGAATATTTTAATTTTGTGCAGCAGCTTTAACATCCCTTTATTAAAATCTTGGAGGTAAATCTTTAAAAATAAAAAGAGTGTATCCTATTTATATGGAAAAAAACCCACGTCTTTTACTCTAATTCTTATTATTCTCCAGGAAAGGGCCCGGATACCAGGTCCAGCATAGTAACCAGGTCCTGGTTTAGGGAATCCTTGCAGATTCATTACCGCCAACAAGACTCCAACAAATGGCAAGGAAGGATCCATTCATTCAACTGTATTCACTGAGTACCTACCACATCAAGGAATAAAGTCTTTGACTGCATGGAAAGTCCACTTGAGTGAGGAAGAATAATAAATAAGCGAATGTGTACTAAGCCGGGTGGCAGGAAGAGCTAACAGAAAAAGAGAGTGTAAGGGGAAGTGGGGGAGCAGGCTGCTATCTTACACAGGTGTTTCAAAGATGGCCTCTACCGTGAAGTTACACCTGAGCTGGAAGTGAATTCGGAGAAGGTCGAAGAACACTCAGAAACCCGGAGAAAGAATGGTTAGGCAGAGGAATCGGCGAGTACAAAGACACTAAATAAGGGACATGCCAGGTATATTTGAGGACCGGCAAGATCTGTGTGTCTGGGGACCGTGAGATGAGGAAGCGGCAAGGGATGACATGAGAGAGGTCCTGGGCCAGATCGGACACGACACGGTAAGGACATTTATTTGCATTTATGTTAAGATGGGAAGCCAAGGGAGGGTTTTGAGTGCAGGAGTGACACAGTCTGATTCTTGGTGGAGTTAGGGACAAAGATGGAACCAGAAAGACCAGTAAGGAAGATGCGGAAATAATCCAGGTGAGCAATGATGGCTTGGACCAGACAGCAGCTGAGGGTGGTAAAAAGTGCTCAGATTACTGACATACTTTGAAGGGCATCTGAGAAGGCTTGCAATGGAGCAAGTACACAGTAAGTGAAAGAGAACGACTCCACGGTTTCTGGCCTGGGCACCTGGGAGAAGGAGGGTCACCAATACTGACATACAGAGAGATGGAAGGGAACCGGATGGAAGCCGAAGGGGACGGTGTGGATGGCTGGGAATCAAGAGTCCTGCTTTGTAGCTGTTGGGTGGGAGACGGCTTTTAGGCACTGAAGTGGGAATGTTCAGCAAACAGCCAGACATAAAACTCTGGAGTACGGAGAAGGGACACTCACTTGCCATAACAATTTTGTATGGGCTCATCAAGGGGGAATTACAGATTTACGTTAGAATTAACGTAATTTAGCTGTCAAAATCCAACCCCCAAATTTAAAGGGAAAGGAAGTCGATTGCGGTTACTTGACTTCTTCAAGGTCACCTAGCTGGGCAACAGGGCCGGATCTCGGATTTCTCCCAAAGCCTGTGGTACCCAGAGGAGGAGGAGAGATGCCACCTCTGAAACCCAAATCCTCAACTACAAAAACCACGTAAAGGGTAAAAAAAAATTACTGAAAACGACTAAACTTTATAAAAGCTTGAAAACATTCTAAATAATCTATTAAAATGAGATTTTTCTGCATGAAGATATAAGGGAAACCTTTAAGACAGAACTGTCAAATTTTGAAGCCAAAACTCACAGGGAACATCCCAGTAGGACTCTGGTGCCTTTGAATGTCGCTGTGAAACACATCAGAATGTTCTCCTCATTACCTTGTTCGGTCTACTCTGTCCAACGTCACTCTAGGGATGGGCCAGCAAAGAGGTTTCATCTTGTGACAATTTAAAATGGTTTGGAATGTGTACCAAGGTGACTGCCTCAAGAATTCTGGGGGCAAGACAGGCTCCCCCAGAGGATGTACTGTGATCAACAAGAAATGGAGACCGGAGGAGGGTAGGTACGAGTGTTATGTACATGGTATTCCAGCAAAGAAGAAAGTCTCTAAAATTTAAATAAGAATATTACAGTTATGCTCTTGCTATTGGCTTCCACTTAAAAATTAGAGGTATGGTCATATTCAAATAAGTATGTCTTAAGGATATACAGATTAGTGTTTTAAACTTAAAAATTCATACATAGCATTTAAAAGGTTTAAGTAGTTTTGACTTTTGCCAGTTAATTGCAGTGGGAATCAAACTTCAAGGTCTTCCTCAAATTCTTGACAGATTGGAGCCAAAACAACCTTAAAACAGGGGCAGCCGTCTTCAAACACTGTATTTCTAAGGCTCCTTTCCTTCTCTTTCCACTGAAATGGCCCAGAAAATGCTTACTGGTCTTAACAAGCATTAAGAAATACGGTGCACTATCAAGCAGGTGTCTGTGATTCCATTTGATATCCAAAAGCCTAATCTGAGGAAGGTCTTCTTATCTTTTTATAATGTTATCATTATCACAGAGAGAAAGGGCCTGGAGGGTCCGAAGGCATGTTTCCCGTTCTGCTCACCTGATCTCTAGGGGAGCTAATTTGGGCTTACATGCTCTTCTTTTCAGCACTGCGTTTTAAAAATCATAATAAATTTCGGTTGGCCAAAATGTATGGAGAATTAACACCTGTTTACCCAGAGTAATAACAGAGTTTTACAAGTATAATTAAAGCTCGCCATGTACCCCTCCCCAGTACTACTTCCCTATCTTCCTTATTCTAAGTGGGAAGGATTGTGGTAAAGTATCTTACATTCTTAATTTTTTTTTCCAAAGAAACATATAGCCCAAGGACACAGGAGGAGAAAATATATTATGTGAAAGTAACATAGAAAAAAAAAATACAGGATTACTTTTTTGATGTTGAGTTCAATCCTGCAGGAGTAGATGGTTGTTCAGGATCCTGATTAACAAGGCAAGTTGGAAAGGAGCAGCCATCACCTAGACTAGAATCAAAAGGAAAACTTACAACTGAGCAGTAAAAAAGACAATAGAGCGAAAATGTTACCATGGGATGTTGGTGCACAGAACACAGTTACACTATGGACAAAACAGGAATACAGACAATGGCTTCAATATAGCCTGTCAAGGGACAGGATGAGTTAACTGACTTCCACACTGATGTAGGAGTGAATCATGAAATAATTCTTTAAAAAAAAAAAGAATTCCCATGCAGAATTGTAGTTCTTCTGCTGGATTGCTTTCATTAGTTTAAAACCTGAACACAAACTACCTTGAAAAAATGGGGAGCAACCAGTACTTCTTCTCATCACCAAAAACTTGTCGCATGTTTTTACTGAAACCCAAGCTGAATCCATTCTTATCTGTTCCATGTCGAAATACAGGACTTCTAAATGCCTCTACAAAAGATGGGAGAGCAATCATATAAGTAACATACACAGTAACCCCCATGTTTAGAAATTATTGGACTAGGTGAGAAAACTCTTAAATATCAATGGCTAGCCCCCTGTGAATACTCATGTACCTATCAACAGCTCTGCAAAAGAGATCACCTATTCTGTTTTCTAAGATGTGATTACATTTATTTTAATTTTTAAAGAAACTTTTTACTATTATAGCAGCACATGTGCAGTGCAAAAGAAAATTAGAAAACACAAAGAAAGCAAATAAATTAAAAGTTTTTATCTTCTGGATCTTTTTTAGATAGATGTGTGGATGGACAGATGGACGGATGGATATAGATATATACATACCTACACAGCTTTCTTAACCAATATACTGTACTTTTACATACAGTGTACAAATTCCCAATAAATTCCATTTTCCCATTTCACTTAAATTTTATCTCATCCAATCATACATTTTTCCCAGCTGGACCAAAAATTTACATTAAAGCTGGTGTGTCCAAAGCAGGATCCAGTGCAGAAGCAAACACTGTGACTGGGTATGCCTACTTTGCAAATGGAAGTCAAGGTTCAGAGAGGCTGTGGGAAGTGTCAAAGATCACACAGCAAAGAAGTGACAGAGATGGAACCTGAACAAGGGTATCCATTATGCTACGATTTCAATTTAAATAATGCTAAGATGCAAAATCTAAACTTTTATTTTTGGAACATGAACAAATATAGAAATATAATGATTTCTGTCCATCATTCAGAAAACAAAACTCTAACAGAGTCAGGGTACTATGAAAAATGTGGCAATTTGCAAGATCCTTATTATCTGTCACCCTGGATTATATAGTTTTTTAATACAACATTTTTAAAAATTATAGGACCAGATCATGAGGGTATTTTCAGTGTTACCAGTTAAATATAGAAGTTCCTAGAAATTACATGCTTCTAGAAATAATCCATTTTCTTCTGATGAATTATAATTATCCAAAATACAGTTTGAAATAAGATACTTAGAAATTATTATGCCAATATGTTCACCAGAATGATATTGATACAGATTTCACCTGAATATTAAAAATTAACAGGGACACCTGGATGGCTCAATCAGTGAAGTGTCTACTTTGGCTCAGGTCATGATCTCACGGTTCATGAGTTCGAGCCCCGCATCAGGCTCTGTGCCAACAGCTCACAGTTTGGAGGTTGTTTCGGATTCTATGTCTCGCTCTCTCTCTGCCCCTACCCCGGCTCGCACTCTGTCTCTCTTTCTCTCTCAGAAGTAAACAAACATTAAAAAAAATTTTTTTAATTAACATTCACAGACTATATACTATAATTAATCTTCACTACTATAATAATGATGTCTCAGAGCTTGAAGTGTCCTTTGAGATCATAAGGATTTATAAGTCCTGGTGGCATCCCCAAACTCCTAATCTTAGCATAGTCCCTATTCTCAAATAGTATATTTTTCATTCTTTTCCGTTCTATGCTCTAGCCATGTGGATAGTTTCACAAACATTTCTAGCTTTTTTCTGCAGGGCTTTTTAAAAAAACTAGAGTGAAATTCACAGATTAGAAAATTAACCACTTTAAATTAAACAAATTAGTGGCATATAATACATTCATAATTCTGTGTAACTAATTATCAAGTTCCAAAATATTTTTATCACCTCATTAAGCAGTCTCTCCCTTTTCCTCTTCCTCTGAAAACCACCAATATACTTCCTTTTTCTATGGATTTACCTAATCTGGGTATTTCATATAAGTGATATTCTATATTAACCTCTGAGACCAGCTTCTTTTACTTAGCATGTTTTTGAGGCTCATGCATGTGGTAGTATGCATCAGTACCTTGTTTCTTCATATGGCTGAAGAATATCCCATTGTGTCGAAAACATCACATTTTTTTCCTATCAATTCATCTTTAATGGGCGTTTGAATCGTTTCATCTTGGGCTGGCATGAATAGTGCTGCTCTGAACACTGATGTGTAAGTATCTGTTGGAGTCCTTGTTTTCAGTTCTCCTGAGTATGTATCAATGAGTGCAATTGCTGGGTCACACGATACTTTCATGTTTAACTTTTTGAGGCATTGCCACCTTGTATACAGCAGATCCACTACTTTATAATCCTGTAAGCAAAGGGTCCAGTTTCTCCACATCCTCAATGACACTTGGCAGCTCTTGTGCTGATTTGGGTGTGAAGTGGTACCTATAGTTTTGATTTGCATTTACCCTAATAATTAATGACACTGAGCATGTTTTCATGTGCTTTTAGACCATCTGTATATTTTTGTTGGAGAAATGTCTATTTAAATGTCTGTTCAAATTCTTTACCAGTTTTTGAACTGGGCTGTTTGTCTTTCTGTTGTTGAGTTGTATGATTTCTTTTTATATACTGAATGCTAGGTCCTTATCAGACGTAAGATTTGAAAATATTATTCTCATGTAGGTTGTCTTGTTGTTGTTTTGATGCGCCCTTTGATGTATACGTTTTAAAATTTTTTATAGGGTCCAATTTTACCTATTTTTCTCTTTTGTTACTCATGCTTTTGGGGTTATACCTAAGAATTCATTGCCTATTAAGATCCTGAAGATTTATCCCTATGTATTCTTCTAAGAGTTGTTTTAGCAACATTTGTTAATTCTCTTCCATTGGTCTATATCTCTATCCTTAGGCCAGTACCACACTGCTTTTTGAAGGCACAAGTGAGCAGGAGAGGGGTGGAGAGAGAGAGAGAGAGAGACAGAGAGAGAGAGAGAGAGAGAGAGAGAGAGACTTAAGCAGGCTCCACCATCAGCCCAGAGCCTGATGCAAGACTGGATCCCATGACACTGGGATCATGACCTGAGGTGAAATCAAGAGTCAGATGCTTAACCAACTGAGCCACCTAGGCCCCTCAGTACCACACTGTTTTGATCACCGTAGCTTTGTAGTAAATTCTGAAATCAGGAAGAACACTTTGTATTTTTAGTAGGTACTGTTTAGGCTATTTGGGGCACCTTGCAGTTTCATATGAATTGAGGATCAGCTTTGCCATTTCTGCAAGAAAGGCCGTTGAAATTGTCATAGGGATTACACTGACCCTGTAAATCACTTTGGGTCATACTGCCATCTTAACAATATTAAATCTTCCAATACATGAACATGGGAAGTCTTACCATTCACCTGCATCTTTAATTTCTTTCAGCCAAGCTTTATAGTTTTCAGTGTACCACTGCTGTACCTCCTGGGTTAAATTTATTCCTAGTTATTTTACTATTCTGATGCCTTTGAAAATGGAATTGTTTCTTTAAGTTCTTTATGGGTGATTCGTTATTAGTGTATAGAAATACAAATGATTTTTGGGGCACCTGGGTGCCTCAGTCGGTTAAGCGTCTGACTTCAGCTCAGGTCATGATCTCACGGTTTCTGGGTTCAAGCCCCACATTGGGCTCTGTGCTGACAGCTAGCTCAGAGCCTGAAGCCTATTTCAGATTCTGTGTCTCCCTCTGTCTCTCACCCTCCCCTGCTCATGCTGTCTCTCTCTCTCTCAGAAATAAAGAACACATTAAAAAAAAAAGAAATACAACTGATTTTTTTGCATATTGATGCATCATGCAACTTTGCTGATCTATGTCATGAAATGATTAGCTCTAATAGTTTTCACTGTGGATTCTTTAAGGCTTTTTTTTTTTTTTTTAATATATAGAAGATCATGTCATCCTCAAAGAAAGATGGTTTTACTTCTTCCTTTCCAATTTGGATGGCTTTATTTCTTTTCCTTGACTAATTTTTCTGACTAGATTAAATGGCAAGAGTGAACATTTGTTTTGTTCCTAGTCTTAGGGGGAAGGTTTTTATTTTTCACCACTGAGTGTGATATTGGCTACAGATTTCTCATAAATGACCTTTATCATTTGAGGCTTGAGGAAGCCCCTTGTGCTGAAGAAATTCCCATGGGCCCCTAGTTTGTCAAGTGTTTTTATCTTGAAAGGGTGTTGGGTTTTGTCAAATACACTCTCTGCATCAGCTGAGTTAACCACATGATTTCCCCCTCTTTATTCTATTATTGTGGTAAACTACTATTGATTGATTTTTGTATATTGAAACACCTTTGCATTCCTAGAATAAATCCTTCTTGGCCATGATATGTAATCCTTTTAATAAGCTGCTGGATTTGGTTTACTAGTATTTTATTGAGGATTTTTGTATCTCTATTCATAAGGGATACTGGGCTGTAGTCTTCTTGGATGTCTTTGTCTGGCTTTGGTATTAGGACAATCCTGGCCTCATAGAGTGAGTTACAAAGGGTTATCCTCTCTTCTAATTTCTGGCAGAGTTTGAGAAAAATTGATGTTAATTTTTTTTTTTTTTTGACCTTTGGTAGAATTCACCAGTGAAGCCATGTGGTCCTGGGCTTTTCTTTGTTGGGAAGTTTGTGATTACTGATTCAATCTCTTTACTTGTTACAGGTCTGTTCAGGTTTTACATTTCTTCTTGAGTCAGATTAGTTGTTTGTATGTTTCTAGACATTTGTCCATTTCATCTAGGCTACCTAATTTTTTTGTGCGTTCAGGGTATTCACTTATAATCCTTTTTATTTCTGCAAATTCAGTACAGGAGTAACGTTCCCACTTTCATTACTGATTTTCGTTATTTGAGTCTTCTCTATTTTCTCTTTCTTGGTAACAACTTGTAAAATGTGTTGATATTTTCAAAGAACAAATTATTGATTTGATTGAACTTCTATTTTTTAAATTCTCTATTTCTATTATCTCCCTTCTAATCTTTATTATTTCCTACCATTTGTTGGCTTTGGGTTTTCTTTGCTCTTCTTTTTGTACTTCCTTAAGAATTAATGTGACTGGTTTGCAAGATTTCTTTTTTTTTTTTAACGGAATAATTTATAGCTAGCTATGCATTTCCCATTAAGTACTGTTTTAGCTGCATCCCACCTCTGTAGGGCTTTTGAACATACTGTTTTCTCTGCCTGAGATGTTATGGCTCTTACCATGATTGACTTCGTAGGTTACATACTTGTTGTTTTGGTAAGCCCTTCCCTGGCCACTGTAAGTAGGTTCCCTTCCATAATCCCAGCCCTTGATTCACACCTCAGTATCCTGTTTGTTTCCTATATAACACTTCGCATTCTGTAATTACTTCTATGTTTGGTTGCTGGTTTTCTGTGCCCCTCATAGACTATGTGGCCCTTTGCTTACCACTGTATATACACAATGCTTTACACACAATGGACAGTCAATAAATATACAGAGCAAGTGCACTTGTAGGCAGCTAAGCCACCTCATACGACAGTGTAGGAAATAAAACCAATTTTTACCACATCAGGACGGGTTGGCATTTAATCATAGGGCAACTTTTGATGAGTTTAAAGTTCTGTTAACTACAACAATTGAATACTCACCTAATGTAGATTTATTTTTGCTGACTAGCCAACAATGATAGCCAAACAGAGAAGACAAGCTGACAGAAAACATAGCTGCAGCAAAGAATAAAAACATAATATGGAACTTGGCTTGAGTATCGGGTAGGCCATTCTATAAAGAAAGGAAGAAAATAAAATGTTTTGTCAAAGGGATATGTATTCCCCTACTTTTGTAAGTAAGATTATTTTTTGCTCTATTTTTTTAAATTTAGATATGGAGAAAGATACATGGCTTTATGTTAAAATGTTGAGGAAAAAGGTATGTCATAAGATTAAAAAATGTTCACTATTAATTTACATAGATATTGAAAAGATATTAAAACTTGGGATATTTATTTTGTTTTTCAGAACCGAATCACAGAAAAACTGTGATAGCATATGTGTAAACTATTACACTAGGAAGCACAATAAAAGGAACTATAAAACATAGTTTTTGATTTACTTCCCAAAAATTTTTTTTTTTAACATACTACAGCTTTACAAATGTTTAAGTAGTTTTCTTATAATGCCTGAAAATGAAGGTTAATTGGCGCACTTACTTACTATCTTTATCAATGTTTTGCATTACTACAAATGACAGCGTCAACTACAAGGACACACGCAACGACACACCCACAATAACGCTTTGAGCTCGTTTAAAGAACGGCGTCACGGAAAAGGTCAACAATGGTGCGTGACACTGATCTGAAACAAGCCTTACAATACGCATGTACTAGAACAGGCCATCTCAAAGCAAAACCGGTTTGTCTCCCACCCATTGTACATAGTGTCCACCCCGGAAGGCCAGGCCTGGGCTACGGACACTGAGGCAAACACCTGGGCTACTAGGAGATGTCCCCTTCCGACAGAAGGTCACACTGTCTCAATATCAATATATCAGCACAGGTCACCAGATCTCACAGACAGCTTTGACAGCAGAGTCTTCAGAGTGAAAACTGGTCATTCCATATATATTTGACATATATATGGTTTGGAACTAAAACCATGCACAGGAACGAGAAGCAGTGAGGTATGATAATACCTCAGACATTCATTTGGGGCCATTCTTCAAGCTGGACACTGGAGTATTCTTACAATGTTAGGAGCATGTCCATATATACGCTTGTGTATTCCTAGTGCTTAGGGCTGTAACTGGCACACAGAGACATTCTAGAAGTCTCTAAAAACAAATGAGTTAATTAAAGCCTATCAAGCAATACTTAATAAAATTTCAGGATATTCTAGACACAATACTCTTAAAAATAATCTTTATGTACATAAAGAAAGCACTTCTATTTTTAAATACTGAAAAAAGTCTTCTAACAGAGTCAATTCTCATTATCCACAGTGGTTATGTTCTAGAGTGATGCTGTGAACACTGAATTTGTGGCTTTAGATCCACTGCCAATGGCAAAATCCAGGGTGAGGTTCTGGGAGCCTCTGGTCACCATGTTCTCATCAAGTGATCAATACACAACCATGTTTGATGTGCGTTTCTGGTTAAAGACAACGTACTGCCATCTTATTTAATACATATTGTTGATTCACTACTCATGGCCAACAACGGTAGAAGTCATGCTAAAGGAAACTTCTCTCACACATGTGTTTTGTCCCTAAGGCACGTAACAGTCTTCTTGTGCTTAGAAACACCAGACAGCAAGCACTCCAGCACTACATGTGAAATAGCAAAATCACCAACAAAAAGTACAAAATGCAAAAAACGTGACACTCATCAGACTGAGAAGCATGCTAGTTTACAGTGTGGGAGAACAAGAGCGGCACGCACGAAGGCCGCAGGCTGCCTTGTTTGATCTCAGCAGGGAATGTGCCCCCATTCTCAGCATGTCTGCAAATGACCACAAAAGCTCTGTGAGTCCTGACTTGGGGATTACAGATAGATTTTTAGCAAGCGGGAGAATTCACAAATACGGAATCTGTGAACAATGAGGACTGACTGTACATAAATGAACTCTAGTCTATAAATCAGTGTCTGAAATAACTCGATTACTGAAAATCTATTATGTACTTTTGTATACCACAGAAAGTCACCAAGGTATTGACTTACTGTCCAAAATTTGATAAAATACTGTAAATCTGTAGCAGCAATAAAAAGGCAGTAGAGCAGAGAATAAGCCAGGAAAAGGAGAAAAAATTTATAATTTGAAAATCCAACGCAGTTGTTCACCCTGTTAACAAAACAAAAACAACATTTTCAGTGAGTTGTACACTTTCAGCCTAGGTATGCATATACTCATCCTAACAGTATTTGGTTTCCTGTCATTTCAAATCCACTGGCCTTTCTTTAAGCATGACTTGTAAGATTTCTTTACACATACAAACATAAAAAATCCACTCCACAACAGGAATTTGTTTAGATTTTTAAATCTAATATATGATACTGCTTTAATCAATCATGAACCATATAGCTATATTTCATGTCCAATTATGAAAAGAAGCACATGCCTAAAAACAAAGCGCTGGGGAGAAACCTAATGAAGTCAGGCAGATAAAAGAAACAAAGTACATTCTTTTTCTCTCTTACCTTTGGATGTGATTTCTAACTATGAGTAAGTAACTTCAAACCTTTCGGGTTTTCCCGAATTAGATGAAATAATCTTCACAAACTGCTTGCATGCCAGCAGCACACCACTGAAGCAAACAGATTATCAAGGGGAGGTTTAAGAAAAGAAATAGGATTGAGAGCCACACAGCTGAGATCATAATGTAGAATTGCCACCTGACATTATGTGGCCCTGACCAGGTGGAGTAGTCTATAGGAATTTCATTGTCCTTCTCTGCAAAATAAACATTCCGGAGAACGGGCTTTACAGCCTTTGATTCTAAACAAGGAGATCGAGAATTCTCAGTTCTTACTCTAAAGTGTATTCAGGGAAGAGGTAGGAATTCAAGTTATTATATATCAATAAACACAAATATAAATACAACTCACTTCATAATCACATTCTTTTCTGTCAAATACTTTTTATTTTCAAGCACCTGGGTGGCTCAGTGGGTTTAGTGTCTGAGTCTCGGTTTTGGCTCAGGTTGTGATCTCACAGTTTCATGAGCTGGAACCCTGTGTCGGGCTCTGTGCTGATAGCACGGAGCCTGCTTTGGATTCTCTCTCTCCCTCTGTCTCTGCCCCTCCTGGGCTGATGCTGTCTCAGTTTCTCTCAAAATAAATAAATAAACTTAAATTTCTTTTTAAATTTCCTTTTGATAAAGACAGGGAATTACAGGATGATCTTGTAAACGTGACAGAAGACCTGTGGAAATGGCTGGTATCCTCAATGCGTGAGTCAACTTCCTTAACTAGTACAATAAAAATAGTGCAAAGAACGTCCACAAATGGTTTCCTCTCCTCAAATGTCTTTTTCTTCCTCTCATGTTAGCAAAGTGATCTTATTCTCTGTTGACTCTGTAACAAACTGAGGCATTTTTCTTTTTAGATTTTTAAAGTCAAAGTGTACGTATGAAAAATGTTTACTCAATTATGAAAGGTAAATAAGCCCCAGAGATCTGCTGTAACCACTGCACCTACAGCTAATACTGTAGTGTGAACTTACCAATTTGTTAAGAGTAGGTGTCGTGTAAGTGTTCTTACAATAAAATTTTTTTATTTAAAAAAATTAAAAAGGTAAACATTGATATGGCTTGAGAATAAATGATAAGTTTGGGAAAAAAAGAAAAATGCTTATCTTGTCTACCTCAAAAACCTTAAGGTAAAGAGAACAGCATTAGATCTAGTAATTCTGGAACATAAAGGTATTGCACTCAGCAAATAAGTTCACAAAGAAGGCAAAAACTGCGGTGCACATTGTATGAAATCAGTTATGACTCTGCTGTGAGTGCAGGCCAATTGCTGAGATTGCCTTTTGTGACATGTGAATGAAATAATGGGAAGAAATAATATAGCAAAGAGTTCCAAACGAGCCTAGTCTAATTGCATTCTGTCTCCAAAGGATGCAGGATATTTCCTTGGCTTCCTTGTGTTCGTTTCCCGAGGACAGAACGGTTGGACGGAAGCTGGGGCACCACAACACTTTGGACAATGGGGGCGAAGACAATGACTCTTTTGTGGGCTTGGGGAAGATAAGAAGGGATAGGAAAGATTGTTTCTCTTCCAATGGGAATGTAAGAAGCAGCTTTGGTATTCAATGATACATAGCATTTTTATGAAAAGGAAAATTTTGATTACAGATTTTGTAACACCAAATTTAACTTACTTTGACTTCTGCTGAGGAGCATGATATAATGTAACTTTGTCACTTGGGAAAGAGAATAGACAGTAAATAAAGACCAAGTATTTTAGAGTTGGATATGTACTTTACACTTGAAGAAATATGGTAATAAAATGTCTCTTCATAACAGATAGCTTTTGGTGAAATGTTTTTACTCCCTACTCCTTTGTAGACTCAATTTGAAAAGGAAGAGAACATATCTGTGTCTGAATGATTTTAGATGGAGAAATAAAACATAATCGTGGTAAATACCCTTTGTATGTTGTTTAAGATTCAGTGCAAACAGCTGTTGGCTCTGATTCAGAAAAATTGCTTTCTGATAATAAATCAGAAAAAGAACATAATATAGAACAAAAAGGGAAGAATGTGGCCTCTGGAGTCCAACAATCTTGCCCTGGGACTTTAAGCCCATTCTTTAACTTTTCTGAGCCCCACATACCCCTCCTCTTTAAAATGGGATAAATAGTTTTGTTGTTTAAAAAAAAACTCTTTTAAAGAAAGAGAGAGAGCACACAGTGAGGGAGAGGAGCAGGGTTGGGGGGAAGAGGGAGGGGGGAGGGAAGGGGGGGAGAGAGAGAGAATCTTAAGCAGGCAACACAGAGCCTGACATGGGGCTTGATCCCATAACCCTGGGATGAAGATCTGAACTAAAATCAAGAGTTGGACACTCAGCCGACTGAGCCACCCAGGTGCCCGGGGACAAATAATTTCTATAATCTCTGTCCTTGTTACAAGAATTACAGATTTTACATATCTAGGTATATACAGTCTCTGGCACATTATAGGTACTCAATAAACTGAAGCTAAAATTACTGAATTTATTTAGTGTTACCTAATCTTTGCAAGCATGTCAACACATATCATTAATACAATTAATATTAATGACAATTTTATATCAAAAGAAAAAACACTTCTGACTATAAGATCAATCACTGTTCAGTTAGAACACAAGTGTAAGTCTGAACCCCAGCACCCTGAGGGGTAATAACCGGCCACAGCAGATACACAGAAATCACTGGCGGCAAAGAAGCATACTTTTCTGATTTTGTAGATGCTCAAGTTGATGGTTACTGAACTTCAAAATTATACACAAGGTCTATATAACAAAGTTGCCCAGTTTAGGGACATCCTGAAGATCTTTTAATAAATGAGTGATGGATTCATATAATGACTATGAAAAAGATTATTTAGGTATGGATAGGGAAAAATTTCCAGGATATAGTAAGTGAAGAGATAAAAAAGAAAGGCATAAGCTCAAGTCCATAATGGAACCACTTGTGAGAAAATAACGTGTAAAATATTTTTGTGTGTGTATAAAAACATGTGATACACACACACCCACATCTGTGTCTGAAACGTGCACGTGACACTCAGCAACACGTTCCTGTGAAGAGGAGAAGAAAGCGGAGAGGACACTCAGAAGAACACTTGTACTTTTTTTATTTTTAAATTTAGAACCATGGGTATGTATGTATTGTCTATAAGCTTTTTACGTTAAAATTTTATTTTGAAACTTAAAATACACAAATAAAGTGGCTGCTCCCTGTAGCAGGCGCCAGGCGCACAGTAGGCCCTTGGCACTCAACCCTTCCCAAGGCGACCTGGCCACTGCCTTCTGCACGGGCGGACCCGGAGCTGAGGCAGCGGCTGGGACAGCAGATGCGACAGCGCGAAGTAATGACACAGAAGTTGGAAAGGTACTGCGGTCGGTTCATTCAACAACCTCCACGTGGCCATGAAAGGTGAGCGTGATAACACGGAGCACACAGTCACGCCACCTGAGCCCACGTCCAAAACCTCTAGAACCTTTTGCGCCGGCAGCCCGGAGCCTGCTTGGGATTCTCTCCCCCACCCCCTCTCTGCCCCTCCCCTGCTGATTCGCTCATTCTCTCCCTCTCTCTCTCTCTCAAAATATGTAAATAAACTTATTTTTAAAAAGATGGTTTAAAACCTCCAAAGGGTTATATTTGTTCCCCTTCACTTATTTAACAATATCTGTCAAAATGTGAAAGACTGTCAGAATATGCTAGAAGTCTCTTAGAAAGCCAAATTAATTGCAGGTTCAGAAAAGATTGCTGTCATAGTAAATTATTATTTCCTATTTTTGTGCTGTGGTGGGAACAGCGAGGATGTGGTAAGCCTGACAGGTGTGCCAAGCTTGGGATTCATGCCGATTGCTTCTACCTCTTCACTCCTCATCGTCACAGTCTCCTAGTACTCTAAGTCAGAAAAATCAAAGTCAACTCTAGGTCCCTGAGCTCCTGCCCACTCTGCTAAGTTCTCCCTGGAATACACAGCTATTCAGAAAAGAGGGGTATCGCAGAACAGGCTCCCCAGAGAGCAGCCCTTGGACAAGAACTTGGATACAGTGTATTTGAAACAAGGACGGGAGAAAAGTCAGGAAGGCGTATGTGGCCGGCCAGGCCCTGGCTGGTTGAGGGTGGCCTCTGGGCGCGTGAGAGCCCCAGCACTTGGGGACCTTGTAGCAGCTGAACCAACCCCATCAGGTGGAAACGAGCCTCAGGCAGAGAAGAAAAGAAGCAGTGGTGCCTGAGGCGGGGAGCTGCCAGCGGGCACGGGAACCATTCACAGCAGGGGCAGTGAACCCCCAGATGGGTCCCAGGGACTTGTGAGGCACGGCCACATGAGCTGCGGGAGGGATCAGCTGCTAGAGGAGTGCAAGAAAGATAAAGGAAACTTCTAATTCAGGACACTGCAGGGGGGCAGGGACTACCTGCTGAGAAAGAGAACACAATGAATGAAAGGATGAGGAAAGCAAAAGAATGGCTACAAATGAAAATTACTATCAGGGGAGGCTATGGATTGAGACCTTTCTTTGAAAGAACGTTATTCTCAGGCATTAACTAGCCCTAACATCAAAAGAAGAAAATCTAGGTGGAGAAAAGGAAGAGGAATCTAGAGAGAGAAAATGCCGTGAACCCGCCATTCCCCTATGATTTCCTGCAGCTAAGGGAATCATTCATTGTGTGTTTCTACCTACACCTGGGAAACACTGGTGAGCATGTCCACCTTTCTGTAGGGCCACGCTTGAAAGAAGAGAAGGCTTGTACAGTAATCATGCTGCGTATCCAAATCTAAGCCACTGGCAACATCAGTGTAACTGTCACAGGTATGTGCACGTTAAGAAGAAAAATTACAGGGAGAGGTAGAAAAAAATGAACCTTCATTAGTTAGTTAGAGCTTACAAATAACCCTCTGTTAAGCTGCCTGATCTAAACTTATTTTCTAAGATATTAATGAGTTCTAAGTGGAAACATTTGTTTATTTGTTTTAAAATTTTTAAAGGTTTATTTATTTTTGAGAGGGGGAGAGAGAGAACGCAAGTGGGGGAAAGGCAGAGAGAGAGGGGGACAGAGGATCTGAAGTGGGCTCTGCACTGACAGCAGAGAGTCTGATGTGGGGCTCGAACTCATGAACCGTGAGATCGTGACCTGAGCGGAAGTCAGACGCTTAATCAACTGAGCCACCAGGTGTCCCTGGAAACCCATATGTGTATATTTGTCTATTTGCTATTCTACTCTTCAATGCCAAGTTTTGCTTAAAATATGTTGTTAAAGCTTTAGATGAATTAATTCATTATTCAAAACTTCCAGTGAAGTGTTGTGTATAATTGATGAATACAATTTGGTGTAATTTCTGGGAAGTGTTTCAGAATCTCTGTGTTTAGGCATGTGCATACAAAGAAAACCATTTGTTCTAAGCAAATGTGACTAATTAACTTTTATATTGTTTACCTACTAGTTTTGAAATTGTTTCATGGCATTTCTCCTGAATAAAGCTCCTTTGAGCTAACTCAACAAGTACTAGAAACTAAATCTGAAAGTACCTCCTGGGTCAGCTAAGGCAAGATTTCATTTATAAAAACATTTAAACACATAAATGATTGAATGTATTAAGTTGTAAGGGACAAGAGACATCTATGCTTGAGGACAGAACTATACTCACCATGGGCAATGATGATCCATCTTCAAAATACATCTAAAAAAAAACAAGCAAAACTTAACACCATAAAATGTTAACCCCATTAATGTATAAAAAGCAAATATAAAAGTTATATAAAAAAGAGTTGTGGCAACTAAAATATTGCAAGACTGCTTACTTATCTAAAAGGTGAATAATTGAGAAAGTCTTCAGCTCAAATAAACACGATAGCCAATTTTAGTTATGATCTAATTATAGAACTTTAAAAACATACATGCTTTAAAATACAAATCAAATACCTCATTCCTTACAAACAATGCAGTATGTTAATACACAATTATCTTGGGCTACAGAAAGTGCAAAATGTCAACAGCTTCACAGAAAGTCTGGATGAGCCTTCTCCTTTAATATCAGTCTTTAAGATATACAGCACTATCCCTGTGGTGTAGTAAGAATCTGACAATATCTGATTGTCATGAAGTCAAATGAGCTATCTTTATAAAGATGAAAAAGAAGCATTTGTTAAACAGAACTAGCCAAGTCTGAGCTGTCAAAACTCGTGTGCTTCAATTACGTCTGTGTGAATCCGGAGGGAAAAGGGACCATTAAGTCACTGTGGCCCAAGCCACACTCACATTAATGCAGGTGACTACACTGGTTCTATTTCCTAAATAAAGCTCTCAGAAGTACAATTAAAGAAAAAATCTGGAAAACAGTGAGGAAAGAAACAATATTAATTAACAAGAACACCAGCACACAGACGTTCTAGAAGGAAACGGTTTTCTTACTTGTCACAGACGGAACAGTGATGGCAGCGGTCTGGCTTTATCAGTTGGCATCTATCACAATATCGGATTGCTAGGGACAAAAAGCTCCACTTAGTCTTAGATTTAACACTGAACTGAATATACAATTAAATAACTTTTATCATCTATCCAAATTTAACTTCTAAAAAGCACAGTGAATTTGAATTGGGCAAAAATGAGATGTTCTACTGTGTAAATACCAAAATAGAACGACTTGCTTACAGCCTCAGTTTTCTTTCTTTCCTTATTCCTTTCTCCCTTCTTCCTTCCTCCCTCCCTCCCTCCCTCTCTTCCTACCTTTCTTTTAAAAGTAATATCTACAACCAGTGTGGGGCTCGAACTCACGACCCGGAGATCAAGAGTTGCATGCTCCACTGGCTAAGCCAGTCAGGTGCCCCCAGGCTCAATTTTCAAAAGAGATTTCTCAAGAATTGGGGGGAATTTTTCTAAGGTGATCCCAATTGTTAGTAATGATTGTAAGGCTCATATTTGTAAGGGTGCAAATATGTCCATTTCCATCAAAGTGAACAGTGTCACCTCCAAGTAAATCAACTTCTATCTTGTACCCCAAGGACGAGAGGATACAACCACATTTTAGAAGTTTTATGAGAAACACCTTTTAGAAATTTGTGAATGAACTTTTATTAGTTGTTCAAATTGGGAAAGAGCTCACATGTTCTCTGTTGTGAGAACCAAGATTAGAAGTGAAGACTGGAAGAAGTACCTCCAATAGAGAATTTTAATTCTTGTAACGGAAGTCCTGACCTTTTCTTCTCTAATATACAGATATCAAAGACGATGATAGATGACTGATCTGGACATGCTATTTCAGTACATAGACAACTTACAAGGTGCAAGCAGTCTACCAGAATTACAGGAAAACAGTTATTAAGTGGGCCACAGGATCCATAAAACCAAATTAATGAATTTAAAATCTGGAAAAGTCCTTGCAACAAATAATTACCATTGTTATGTTAGCTAATATGACCTCTGAAACAGGAAACAGAAACTGAAATAGGAAAAAAAAAAAAAAGACCTTTTTTCTTCTTTATTATTAGTTTTTTTAAACATTTATTTATTTTTGGTGGAGAGAGAGAGAGAGAGAGAGAGAGAGACAGCTCAAGCAGGGGAGGGGGGTAAAGAGAGAAGAAGACACAGAATCTGAAGGAGGCTCCAGGCTCCGAGCGTCAGCAAAGAGCTGGACACGGGGCTCAAACTCATGAACTGCGAGATTGTGAACCTGAGCTGAAGTCGAATGCTTAACTGTCTGAGCCAACCAGGTGCCCCAGGATGAGGTTTTTTCAAACAACGAGACCTCTATGGAATTGTTTTCAATACTGAAACAAGCTCTCAATCATCTCCTTACAACTCTCTTTTTTTCCAGAAACCGCAGACATTAATGGCATGGCAGCCTCTTCTCCTGAAGGCAGGAGTCTCACAGCAACATACCAGGGAAAGCTACACAGTATCACTGGCTCATGCAAAGCATTAATACTGGCAGTATTATCCAGCAAAAATGTAATGTGAGCCACATGTGTAGTTTTAGATTCTCCGAGAGCTATATTAAAAGACATAAAAATATGGGGCACCCAGGCAGCTCAGTTGGTTGAGTGTCCGACTCTTGATTTCAGCTCAGGTCATGATCCCAGGGTCATGGGATCAAGCCCCGTGTCTGATTCCAAGCTGAGTATGGAGCCTGCTTGAGACTCTCTCTCTCTCTCCCTCTGCCCATCTCCTTAGCGCGCACGCTCTCGCTCTCTCTCTCTCTCAAATAAAATTTTTTAAAAGACATAAAAAGAAACAGGGAAATTAATTTCAATAAAATGTATTATTTTAGCTAATATATCAAAGATATTATTTCAACATATAAATAATATACAAATTTAATCACATATTTTTACATTTTAATGCCAAGTTTTTAAAAACTGTTATATATTTTTTACACTTATAGTTGAATTTTAAGTGGTGAGTTTGGTGGAAAATGCTAGATTCTCTCCAGATGGTGATTATCTCTCTTTCTCCAGATGGTGATTATCTCTCTTTCAAAGTATGCTGGGGCGGGGAGGGGGGGGAACCTCTCAAATCAAAGTGGGTAAATAATTCATAGGAAATCAAAACAATGTAGAAATAAGATTTTTGTTTATAGTCTTTCATACACATAAATTTAGTCTTTAAATTAAAAAAATGCATAATCCCATTTAAAATTGCATCAAAAATAATAAAATACCTATGAACAAACCTAACGAAGAGGTGAAAGACCTATAAAATGCTGATTAAAGAAACTGAAGATGACACAAAGAAATGGAAAAACATTCCATGCTCACGGATTGGAAAAACTAATATTGTTAAAATATCTATACTATCCCACGCAATCTTCACATTTAACGCAATCCTTATCAAAATAACAACATCATTTTTCACAGAACTAGAACAAACCATCCTAAAAGCTGTATGGAACCACAAAAGACACCAAATAGCCAAAGCAATCCCGAAAAAGAAACAGCAAAGCTGGAGGCACCACAATTTCAGACTTCGCATTACATTATAAAGCTGTAGTGATCAAAACAGTATGGTATTGGCACAAAAGTACACACACAGATCAATAGGAGAGAAAACCCAGAAATAAATCCACAATTATCTGATCAATTAACATATGACATAGGAGGCAAAAATATGCAATGGGAAAAAGTCTCTTTAACAAATGGTGCTGGGAAAAGTGGACAGCAACATGCAAAGAATGAAACTAGACCTCTTTCTTACACCCTACAGAAAAATAAATTCAAAATGTATTAAACACCTAAATGTGAGAACTGAAACCAGAAAAATCCTAGAAGAGAGCATAGGCAGTAATTTCTCTAACATCAGCCATAGCATTTTTTTTCTAGGTTCTCTGAGGGAAAGAAAACAAAAGCAAAAATAAACTATTGGGACAAAATAAAAAGTTTCTGCACAGCGAAGGAACCAATCAGCAAAACTACAAAGCAACCTATGGAATGGGAGAAGATATTTGCAAATGACATATCTAATAAAGGGTTAGTAACCAAAATATATAAAGAAATTATACAAATCAACACCTAAAAAACAAATAATCCAATTAAAAATGGGCAAAAGATGTGAATAGACATTTTTCCAAAGAAGACACCAAGATGGTCAAGAGACACATAAAAAGATGCTCATCATCACCTACCATCAGAGAAATGCAAATCAAAACTACAGTAAAATATCACCTCATACCTGTCAGAAGGACTAAAATCAACAACACAAAGAACAACAGATGTTGGCGAGGATGTAGAGAAAATGGAAACTTCATGCACTGTTAGTGGGAATGCAAACCGGTGGAGCCACTGTGGAAAACAGTACGGAGGTTCCTCAAAAAGTAAAAAATTGAACTACCCCACCATCCAGTAATTGCACTACTATTTACCCAAAAAAACCAAAAATGTTAATTCAAAGGGATACATGCACCGCTAGGTTTACAGCAGCATTATTTACAATAGCCGAGATATGGAAGCAGCCCAAGTGTCCATCACCGATGAATGGATAAAGGAGAGGTGGTACATATATGCAATGGGATATTATTCAGCCATAAAAAAAGGATGAAATGTTGTCATTTACAATGACATGGATGGAGCTACAGAGTATAAATGCTAAGTGAAATAAGTCAAACAGAGAAAGACAAATACCATATGATTTCACTCATATGTGGAATTTAGTAAACAAAACACATGAGGAAAGGGGAAAAAAAGAGAGAAAGACAAACCAGGAAACAGACTCAACTGTAGAGAACAAACTAATAGTTACCAGAAGGAAGGGGGGGAGGAAGGGTAAATGGGCAATGCGGATTAAGGAAGGCACTTGTCATGATGAACACCAGGAGATTAAAATAAAATCTTAAAAATAAATTCCCTGTGCTATATCATATTCAACTAAAATTATCCTGCTGTAATTTAAAATGAAATGATTATCATTTAAAGACTCTTAACAGTCAAGAAGAATTTTAACTGTCTTGTTTTTTTTTCAGTTTATTATATATAAGTATAAATATATATATATACACAATATAAAGATATTATTCCAATATTATTTTATTTATGTAATTTAAAACCTTTTTGGGTAATGTTGAAAAGACAAGTTATCAACATCTGGGTGTAAAATGGTAAGCTCCATCACCTCTGGTTGTTACCTTCTTAAGTCAAAATGTACAAAAAAAATTTAAAGGAAAAGATCAAGGGCAAGAGAAAGCTAAAAAAAGCAAAGAGTCCTCATTTAATAAAAATAAAAAATTATCTGTAATAAAGTTTGGCGATCCCTGTGAGAAAACAGAAGACGGCTGGATCAGAAGAAAGCACAGGACAAAGAGGAAAAGTCTTGTTAATACCCTGCTTTACTATGCCCCCCATTCCAGTCTGTATGTAGTTGAATTTTTCTGTGTAGCGCAGTCAGTTTAATCGAGGCAGTTGGCTTTTTTCTCTTTTGGGTTTGGAGGAAGTGTTGTGGACTTAGAAGGGACAGTAAATTCCTTAATTATATTACCATCACCTTCAATTCTCTCTGAATTACAAAGAGCATGAATATCAACTACATGTTTCAGTTGTTTTAGTCAATTCCTCAGGGCAAAGAAGGAAGTTATTCAAAGAACCCGAATGTCTTTGCTGGGGTTGAGGTAGGAAGGACCCCTCTCACATTCCTGCCTTGGTGGTACTGTGGCTGCCCCATTGAACATCCATTCTGCATTGTGTTTTCCTTTACATCCTATGTATTTCAGAAGGAGATTAATCACACCAGCATAATCTTTTTATTAAACTTAGCATAATTTAAGTGAGTCAATGACTCTAGTCAGTTAATATTGATTTTAGGAGGCATCCAAAATTTTAGCACTGAAAATATAAACAAAGATTATATTAGGAAATCCAGATTGTATTCCCCACTGTCACAAGTAATAAGAACCATAAATTCATCTCAGGAAAAAGGTATCCAGTACTTGACAGGAATGAGATGACAGCCTTAACATTATATAAGGTACACAAGGAGATGACTTACAAATCCAAAGTGTGGTTATTACTAGTGGAAATTAATACGTGGTTACAGTATGACCTACGCTTCCTTCCTTTCTCTTGACCCAGTGTGTCAAGGGTACCATAGAAAAGCACTGCTCTAGGAATGTGGAGATGAGTTTTTTGCACCCTAAACTGTGACTGTCATTAACTAGTTTGGAAACTTGTGTAGTAACATATGTTTAGGGGGCTTAAATTAAGTATTTGCTTAGGGTTATGTAGTGTCAACATACATATACATAAGCGCATCTCTGTCTTTGTGGAACAGAACCAGTGACATTAATATTGAATCAAAGAATTACCACTTGTCCACTGAGAAACAGGGAAAACAAAGAGAAAAAATTGCAAGACTATGACTTAGACTTAATTATGATTCTCAAGTGAGTTAGAAACAAATTTAAGTAATATAAAAATATTGATGAGATGTTTTACACTCTTTTTTTCATACAAAGTCTTTGAAACCAGTTATGTATTTTATACTCAGAACAACTCAATTTGGAGGGGTCACTTTTTTTTTTAAAGTTTATTTATTTATTTTGAGAAAGAGAGAGCATAAGTGGGGGGGAGGGAGATGGAGGGGGGGGGAGAGAGAGAGAGAGAGAGAGAGAGAGAGAGAATCTCAAGCTGGCTCCATGCTGTCAGTGCAGAGCCCAACGCTGGGCTCCATCCCAAGACCCTGAGATCATGAACTGACCTGAAATTAAGATTCAGGAGTTTAACCACCTGAGCCACCCAGGTGCTCTGGGAGTTGCCACATTCTAAGTGCTCAACATCCATGTGGGGCTACTGGCCACCAAAATGGGGGACACAGGCCTAAAGTCACAAAATTTCTGGGTGAATCTTGGTAGACGAGTATTAGTAGATGCCTTTGTCCATTTTTAAGACAATTCTTTACTAGATAGTTATTAAACTACCTAAAAAATATGACCCAGGTAAAAGAGATTTATTAACTGAAATGCATTTGTTTAAAAAAAAAAGGAAAGAAAACTACCATATATTTTAAAGAAAAAGAAAAAAAAATTTCTTTAAATACTTAATGTATCATTAAGTGTTATATAATTTATACAATTACTGCTTTAAATTTATATAAAATTGTCAATGTTACATTCATTATAGATACTGCTCCCTTAAATAACAGGAAGATCTATAATTAAAACTTTAAAAACAGAGGTGCCTCAGTCAGTTAAGTGTCCAACACTTTACATCGGTTCAGGTCATGATCTCAAGTTCCTAAGTTCAAGCCCTGCATCAGGCTCTGAGCTGACAACAGGGAGCCTGCTTGGGATTCTCTCTCACCCTCTCTCTCTGCCCCCTCCCCGCTCACGTGTGTCAAAATAAAAAACATTTAAAATATTTTCAGTCCATTAAGCATCTGACTTAGGCTCAGTCAGATGCTTAATGGACTAATGACCTCGGAATCTGGAGCCTGGAGCCTGCTTCAGATTCTGTGTCTCCATCTCTCTCTGCCGCTCCACTGCTCACACTCTCTCTCTCTCTCTCTCTCTCTCCCTCTCTCTTTCTCAAATAAATAAACATTAAAAAAACTTTTTTAATCTTTAAAAATAAATACAACTACAAATTAATACTTCAGCAGTTCTAACATCTCCACTGAATCCCAGCTAAGTGACCAGAGAAGTAAGGTTGGTGCTGATGTGTCTGAGATCTCTGTGCCACGCACCCTTATTCATGTGTTCTGTTTTACAGAACTGTATAGGAAAGATGTAATAACCACCCAAGACATAACACGATGTATTTCAATGAGTGTTCGACAGTTTCAAGGATATAAATATGCTGACGGTCGCCACAACAATCGTGCCAAAGCACTCATTATCACACACCTCCAGACATGGTCCTGGTATAGATGGGGAGATCTTTGGCTGCTCGCCGAAGAACTTCCTGGTGGGCTTCTCCTCTTGGCTCTCTCTCCAACAACTCTTTCTCTGCATAAGACAGATGGAACTGTGGAAGAAATTTACATTTCAGTCAATGTTCTCAAGAAATAGCATATTGGTCTATATACCTATGAAAGGATATTTATAAAATATTAATTGTATATATTATATATATTGAGAGTGATCATAAGCTTTCAATCTGGGCATGTCTGTTAATCTAGTGGATCATTAGTTGGTACATCTAGAACAAGGGAATAATATCTACTTCCTCAGATGTTCAGGAAATTCAAGAGGAATAGAGTATGTAAAATTATTTTATAGACTTCTATTCCAGTATTAGTTATATTACTAAATGAAATGGCAAAATAAAAAATTTGGCTCACTGGGTAAATTTTTCAACTGGATATTATTAGGAATAAAAATAGAGACACACCTATCAAGCATGTTTTCTTATCTAAGTGAATTTTAACTTAAGGATAATCATGACATAAATTTCCTAGCACTCAAAAGAACTAATCATTAATTTTGCTTCTTATACAGCCAATCTGGGCCACCCAATTTTTTTAATTTTATTTTTTATTTATTTTTTAAAATAGTTTATTGTCAAGTCGGTTTCCATATAACACCCAGTGCTCATTCCAACAACTGCCCTCCCCCATGCCCATCACCCCCCTTCCCCTCTCCCGCACTCCAATCAGCCCTCAGTTTGTTCTCAGTATTCAAGAGTCTCTCATGGTTTGCCTCCCTCCCTCTCCCCAACTATTTTTCCCCTTCTTCTCCCCCATGGTCAAAGCCAGGCAGATAAGGACAGATACCATATGTTTGCACATATAGGTGGATTAGGAGGAACTCAACAGAGGACCATGGCCCACCCAATTAAAAAATCCTTACTGGAGAAAAATCAAATTTGGGCTACACACACACACACACACACACACACACACACAAAACCCAATAACAAAAAAAAGCCTTAGAAGTCTATATAAGTATAAATGTTTTCCAGGAGACACATATAAGGATATTCACAGAATTGTTGTTTGAAATATAAAAAATTAAACATAACCCAAATGTTCATCAAAAGGGTAATGAATAAATAAATTGGAGTATGATATATTCACATAACTGAATCCCATGATGCACTGAACAATTAATGAGCTAGAGCTATGCACAACAAAGAATCTCAACATACTGTTCAACACCATAAGCCTGGGATCATAACCTGAGGTGAAATCAAGAGTCAGATGCTCAAATGAGCCACCCAAGTGCCCCTTATTATTCTCTGAACTATACATTACATATGCTTTTTTTGTATGTAGGTCATATTTTACAATTTTTTAAAGTTTTAAAGGTAATCTAATTATGACAATAAAAGAAAGAAAAACAATTTGTTGAGAATGAGGTGATGATATTTGAGCCAAGTCTTTATCTTTGGAGAAATAAAAATTAAAAATATTTGTTCAGAGGTTGACAATTCTATCGAGGTTATTTTAAAAAGAAAAACAAGTCTCCAGCTTTCAAATGTAAATAAGGTTTAAGATACCATAAAATTCCCATATGCATGACACGTAGTTAAATATAACCGTAAAATTTCAGACCTATTAAGGTAAAGAATATAAAAAGAAGTTTTCTCTAAGTAGGAATTTACATAATACAAATTATTCTAAGTTAGAATATTAAATTTACTGGCATTAAATCAGTAGATGTGTTATAGTTACATCTTTAAGAGTTTCTAAAGTAATTTAAAAAAAAGTATTCTCTACATTAAATATTCCTCCTGTTATAAATTCACAGCATTTCCTTACCTGTTAGTTAATGTCACAGTTTTTCAAATTATACTTCAACCAGTCCTTCCTCACATGAATACAAATAACAAATAAATGAAGGTCACATTTATGAAGGGGTGGAGGGTTCTTTCTATCAGTTTTAAAACCTGACACACATTCACCCAATCATTCTGATTGGTTTAATATATAAATGAGGGGGTTAGTGGCTGTGAGCAGTGCTGTTTCCAGCATAGCAAAGAAGGAGCCTGCAGACTGATCCCAGAGGTGGGGGCAGGAAGAACAGCAGATTAAATATCTTGGAATCAGAAAAGTTTGGGAACCACATTTAGAGTAAGTAGACAACTATCTCCCAATTGGGTAATAGATTCCTGGAATTCATTCCATTTTTTCCAAAGTTACTACAAAAAAGAACTTTGACAGAAGGGTGATGCAATGAGAGTATTGTCACTCTTCAGGTCTTATTCAAATTCAAGAGCTGATAAAGAAAATTCAAATTGTTTACTGATCCATCACATGCAGTTGTACTGGTTCATCAGGGGATTTGCCAGATTTCCTGACTTATTTAATAATTCTAATATTCTTATTTAATAACTCAACAGTGGGCATCAGGCACCGGCTGATATTATTTTAACATTTAAAATGTTCTGTTCATTGTTTTGAAAGAAAAGAAATATAATGACATAAAGGTAAGTGGTCTTAATAGAACTACCTATCTTGTGTGGAAACATGTAATTGCTATAAAGGGTATAACATCAAATGATGTCAAAATGCTGTAAGTCAAGAAAAAGAAAGGGTCATTGTAAAAGTGTCTATTAACTTTGCACACGATGATTCCTCCCCCTGGAACCCCAGTCCTCCTTGCACTCTATGGATTGCTCCTTCTCATTTTGCAGATTTCAGCTTAAAAGCCATCTTCTCAATGAACTTCCAAGATTCCTTTGCTAGGGTGGGTACCCTAAAAATTCTGTCCCTTCCCCCTGCCATACTCTTCCCTAGGTCCATAGTCCTTCTTTGCATTATACACCACAATTTTAGTTATTTTGTTTGTTCACTGATCCTCTAACTCTCCCACAAGCACATAACCCCACACGGGCAGGGATCAAACCCGAGCACAGAGCCCGCACTCGCTTACACCTGTGAAACGGACGAAGGAACATGTATCAGATCACTGAGTATCAAGGAAAAACCTGTTGTATTACTTTTTTATTTTTAAAAAATATGTTTTTATTTATTTTTGAAAGAGAGACAGAGCATGAGTGGGAGAAGGGGAGAGAGAGGAAGGGAGACACCCAATCTGAAACAGGCTCCACGCTCCGAGCTGTGAGCACAGAGGCCAATGAATGGCACGATCATGACCTGGGCTCAAGTCGGACGCTTAACCAACTGAACCACCCAGTCGCCCCAGGAAAAACTTATTTTATGTCTCAGTCCCCAACATTCCATTCTCAGAATCCCACCATATAGGATGATATATCTCCCTTCGTGTTTTTAACATTAATTTAAAACCTAGCATTGAAAATTAGTTTAGTAAAGACATAATAATAGTCAAAAGGATTAAAGCCATCCACATTTTATCACACTTTCTTATGGAGTTCTGGATCCTTTTTACCTTAGAGGAAAGTTCTAGTTAGTGACAGAACTGAAAGGCTCTTTAGTATATTCAATGGTTTTATTACTAAATAAAGAACACACTGCATCAGGTCCAGAAAACCAAAAACAAGTCGGCAGAATTGTTACTCATGTCATATGGCTATCTAAATAGCTAATTCTACTTTGGAATACACCAAATATATAGTCCTTTCCTCTAGAACACTTTTGATTTTTTAGATTTTATTTTATTTTCTAAGAAATGTTAGGGTTTTTTTTTTTTTTTTTTTTGCATTTTTTTAGTATTTATTTATTTTTGAGACAGAGAGAGACAGAGTGTGAGTGGGAGAGGGGCAGAGAGAGGGAGACACAGAATCCAAAGCAGGCTCCAGGCTCTGAGCTGTCAGCACAGAGCCCGATGTGGGGCTCGAACCCAAGAATCATGAGGTCATGACCCAAGCCCAAGTCGGACACTTAACCGACTAAGTCACCCATGCGCCTTCTAGATTTTATTTTTAAGTCATCTCTATACCGAACGTGGGGGTCAAACTCACAACCCAAAGATCAAGAGTCACATGCTCTTCCCACTGAGCCAGCCAGGTGTTCCTCACCCAGAACACTTATATGTGTAAAGGTAGGTCACAGATTTGAAGAAAGATGACTTTTGTTGAGAGCTGATGGAACAGAAGATCTCCTAGGGTGTAACAGATAACATCGCTGACCTACCACCAGCCTGCGGGTCTGGCAGTCCTCTGGCCAGGCAAGGCATGCTCTTCTCTTTGGTTTAAATCATTTTATCCCACTTAAAACATTTTAGATTTATAGAAAATTTGAGAAAATAGGACACAGTTCCCATATATCTTCTCACCAAATTGCCCATATCATGAACACCATATATTAGTACATTATGGTACGCTTACCACAATCCATGAATTGATACTGATACATTATTAACTAAAGTCTGCAGTTTATTCAGATTTCCTTAGTTTTTACTGAATATCTTCTTCTGTTCCAGGATCCCATCCAGAATACCAGAGTACACGTTAAAGGAGAGTATGATTCTTAAAGAATATATAAATTAAGAAAAAACCTGAAAGCTAATATGCAAATTAAGAAAAAACCTGAAATCTAATGACCGATAGAAAACTCATGAATGTATTTCCTTCTTTGCTATTTTTCACTTAGGACAAAAATGAACATGTAATCTCACCGGTATCTAAAATGTACAAATTAAAACACAGAATATTAATTTTTTTAAAACATAGAATTTAATTGACAACTAATGGCTTTCTTAATGATAGGCATTGCCAAAGGTCTGTTAAAATTTGTGGCACTCTAAGTTGCTACCATTCTTTTTTCAAACAATTTGGCAAGTAACTAAAATTTCCTTGGTCTAGTAATTTGACTTCTGAGAAATTATATTAAGGAAATAATCCAAAATGTAGGTAAAAAGTATGTACAAAACATGTGCAAACATGTTAACAAGATTATTTATAATATGAAAAGTTGGGATTAGCCTACAATTCCAAGTTGGGATGTGACAGAGTAAACTTTTACATATTTCAGTGAGAATATTATGCCGTTATTAAAAATGACAATAAACCAATAATGGACTATTATGGGGGAGAAAGTGGAATATGTGCACACTGAATACAAATTGGAAAAATAGCTCAAAGGAAATTCAGCATGTAAACTGGGTAGATTAGCATGATTTTGTTTTTCCTTCTCTTTTTGTCTAGTCTCCATTTTCACAATGTAAGTTGGTATGGTTATCTTACTTTTATGGGAGGAAATCTTATAAACTGAAAAATGATGAGCGATTTAACAATCTTGTTATATAAAAAGGAAAATTTTAGTTCTAGATTTCTCATAAATCTCAGTAGTAACAAGAAAATATTAACATTATATTCTTATTACCTCTTCCCCTGCTATTTTAGTCCCATTTTTCAAAGATTTTCAGCAGTTGAGAGCACTCCATTGTCAATTAAAGTCAAGGACCCCTCATTTTACAAGTGGGAGGGTCTCTGGCTGCTAATCAACTGAAAGATTAGGGCGAGATCTTGCATTTTATTAATGGAATAACTCAAGATTCTTAGCCAGCAAGTAAGAGCTCTCTCTTTCATAACAGTGGTCTCCAAACTCTTCTGATCCTGGACCCATCAGTAAAAAGTAATCTGAGACTGAAATGCATTTTTGTTTATATACTTAGTATAATTATTATATATGAAACCTTTTATATGAAACTTTATATGCATTTATATGTATTTTATACTTTATATAAATATTTCATATATATATATTTTTTAATATTTTTATTTCTAGGAGAGAGACAGAGAGAGACAGCGTGAGCAGGGGAGGGTCAGAGAGAGAGGGAGACACAGACTCTGAAACAGGCTCCAGGCTCTGAGCTGGCAGTCAGCACAGAGCCCGACACGGGGCTCGAACCCACGAACTGCGAGATCATGACCTAAGTGAAATTCAGACACTTAACCGACTAAGCCACCCAGGGGCCTCCATATATATTTCTATGCCTTATATTTGTAACTTTGAGAAAAAGAAACATCAAAAGAGTAATATGTAAATGAAAGTGTTGCTATTTTTTCTCCACACTCTAACTGATATCCTGGCTACACTCACCGACAGTGGTGTCCACTCTCCAGGCTAGAGCTTGATATACTGCCAAGAGTGTGGGCTTGATGGTCAGAAGAACTTTGCTTTAGAGAAGTCTGGGTGTCTCAGTCAGTTAAGCATCCAACTTTGACTCAAGTCATCATCTTACAGTTCGTGAGTTGGAGCCCTGCGTCAGGCTCTATGCTGACAGCTCAGAACCCGGAGCCTGCTTCAGATTCTGTGTCTCCCTCTCTGTCTGGTCCTCCCCCACTCATATTCTGTCTCTTTCTGCCTGTCTTTCTCAAAAATAAATAAACATTAAACAATTTTTTTTAAAAAGGGAAGAAAAAGAAGAACTTTGCTCTGAATGTTAGCTCTGTCACATGCTAGTTCTAGATGCCCTGGGATAATTAGCTCATGTTCAGAACCCACTGCTCCATTTGTAAAATGGTAACAAATAGTATCAACCTCACAGAGTTGTAGGAGTTGAATAAAGTGTATGTTTTTTGGGGGCTTTTTTTGGTGGAAAAATCATCCAACAAATCATGGTACAGCTATAAATTCACCGTCTCAATCTGGACTTCTCCCTCAATACTGTGACATTTCTTCCGTGTTTCATCATTTTATTTTCCCACACTCTCTCCAACCACTATTTCAAAGCTCTGCTTTCCCAAACCTCAGTTAACCTACCTCCCTCTCATTCTTAGCTGATGATCTCACATATAATTTGTTTTAATGTTTATTCATTTTTTGAGACAGAGAGACAGAGCGTGAATGGGGGAGGGGCAGAAAAAGAGACAGGGAATCTGTCTTTATCTGTTTTGTTCACTGACCTTTTATGGGTCGGACTCTGCTCTAGATACTGGCGATGGGTCAGTGAACAAAACAGATAAAGTTCATGCCACTGCAGATCTTATGTTTTAGGAATGATATAATATGAATATGGAATGAGTTACAGAATGATATGCTATGGAGAAAAATACAGCAAGGTTAAGGTTTATAGGGCATGCCAGGGAGAGTTTACATGACAGAGACAGGAAATAAGTAAGGGACCTGGAAACACACTTATCTGTGGGAAGAATATTCCAGGTCAAGAGAAAATAATCAGGTTTCTAGACCCCTGAGGGAGAAACATGCTTAGGATACTGATGGAACAGCAAGGAAACCAATGTGACGAAGGCAGCGCTGAAGAAGGTCAGAGAGGTGGTGTGGGGCCAGGCCATGTGCAGCCTTTTAAGCTACAGTAGATAGGGTATCAAAGGGAAGTTTAAGCAGAGAAGAATGATATGATCTGTTTCTTGTTTTGAAAGGGTCACTGTAGATACTTGTTGAAAATATACAGCAAAAGGAACCTGGTTGCAAGGTTACTGCAGTATGCAGGCATGGGGTGCTGGTGGCTTGGGGCGGGGCATGGGCTCTCACTGTGGCTGCTTTGAGGGGTTGCTTACACTGTCTGCTGATGGATGGGATATGGGGTTTCAGAGCAAAGGAGTTGCCAGGGATGCCTCCCAGGGCTTTGAATGGAATCGCCATGACGGAGCTGGGAAAACCTGAAGAACAGGAAGATTCCGGGAGTGGGCAGGGAATCAGAAATTTGTTTTCAGGTACTCTGAATTTAAAATTTCTATGGCCAAATACATAGCTGGAAATGAGTCTGAAATCCAGAAGAAAGAACCAGGCTAAGGATTTTCATTTGTTGTTGTTGTTGTTGTTGTTGTTGTTTTAATATTTATTTATTCTTGAGAGAGTGAGACAGAGGTTACTAATTTGAAAGCTGTAACAATGAGATGATACCTAAAGTTATAATGTAGATAAATAAGAGAAGTCATCCAGGGATTGAGGTCTGGAACAATCCAATGCTTTAAGGTTCAGAGATAATAAGAATTGCAATGGAGACCTAATGGAGCTGCCACCACGAATAAAGATGGAATTATTTGGATAAGAAAGTAGGTAAAAAATCTGGAAAGAAAATAATGGCATGGTATATACAGGAAAACACATGTCATTAAAAACTACTAGAATATAAAGTGGGGAGTCAGAAATTTAGACAAGACTCCTTTGTTGCCAAACTAGGGAGACTGGCCTTTACCCTGTGGGACACGTAGAGCAACTGAATAGATAGAAGACGTAGAAGGGTTAAAGTTGATTTTAGACTTCCAGCTTCTGGGTGAAGGATGAGTTTTAGGCAAGAATGTAAATAGGGAAAGCCTACAGGAGACTGCATGTCTCAGACAAAAGAAATGACTGAGATCCTGAATTAGGGTAATAAATCAAGAAGAAGAAAAGAATAAAGAAAAGAAACAAAGAAAAGAAAAAGGGGTTGGAACCAAAAAGGAAAATTAGCAAGTAAAAACATCAGCAGGATGTGGATGCTGAGGGAGGGGCAAGGAAGCCAGAGAATTCCAGCAAGGCTGCCAAGCTTCCAGAAAGCTGGAGTGTGGGAAGGCTGAGCTGGATGGCAGTGGCACTGACCAGCATAAGAAACAGATGAGTCATGCTCTGGGGGAGAAGGGGGTGACTTCAGCGTTTGATGTGCTGTATTTGACGTGCCGGTGGACTCAGGAGCCATGTGTGGCAGGGGGATATCTAAGTTTGCAACAGAAGAGGTCAGAGCTGGAAAGAGATCTGGGAATTGTCATCACAGACGTTCTAGGTAAAGCGCCAGAAAGGATAAGATCTTCCAGCACGGGAGTCAGCGTGCTTCTTCAAGACTACCACTAAGGCCAGGACGGCGGTAATGGACATAACAGCAAAGAAGCAAACGTGGCAGGAGGGAGGAAAAAGCAAGAAAAAGTAGGAAATAAAAACAGGTAGAGAGTAGAAGAAAAAAAGGCTCTGTGTAAAGCACTTTACGCCAAGCATGCCACTGATTCTGGGCAAATACCTGTGGTTTCATTTTTAATATCCTTTCCCAGGTCATATAGCATGTTTACGGGCCTTCTGACCACAGCTGCACTGCAAACAGATTACTTCAGGGAACGATTTGCAACGATGCCTAGACCCACCCTTTTTTTTTTTTTTTTTTTTAACTTGGCCAACTAAAACCACAACATTATTGCTGGAACAAAGTTTATTTCAATTCAACAAACATGTACTGGACTAAATGCCAACGGTATAGAAATGAGTAAGACAGAGTCCTCTGCTCTACACTTTTAACCAAGATGAAAGACTTAAAAACAAATACTTAGAATGGTCTTTTCCCAGTATAAATTTGACTCTATCACTCTACTTAAAATCATCTGTAGCTGAGACTGCTTCCACACCCACCCCTCCATATCCACAATTTCCTTCTTCTGACATGGTTCATATGATTAACATGGCCACTGAGAATAAAGACTACATTCTTAACCTTCCGTGCAAGTAAATGTGGCCATTTACTAGGTTCTAACCTAAGTGGAAATGGTGTCAGCAATTTCCAGAAAGCATCCTTAAAGGGAAGGACTTACTTCTACTCCTCTATATTACTTCCTCTGACCTGCTGTCTGGAAGGTAGACATGATGGCTGGAACTGCAGCATCCACCTTAGGCCAAGAGGTGACTTTGGAAACAGCAGATACACACGTAAGAGCAATAAGCTCTACAGACTAGCTACAGACTGTGAATACAGAGAGGATTACTTACATTGTTATTTTGTTGTTGGTGGCTAACAGCCAACTAATATACTGTTAGTGTGATAATTGAAGTATAGCAATGTCTACCTTCAGCTCTGTCTATCCGTCCATCCACCCTGCTGTCTGACTCTTAAGTAGAAATGGAACACACCACAGATTTAGTACCAGAAATATCATACTAATCCCATGCAAAAATAATACTTACAAAGTGAAAATTCAAGTATTTACCAACAGACACATTAATATAAACATTAGTACACTCACTCAATAAGTGCAACATTAACAAAAAGATGTAAAATTCATTCTTCAGATATCAGTATTATTGACTTCCAACTTCAAGATAGCTTTACTAATATTTTAACTTACTTCTTTTGAAGGATTCATGGGTAATGTAAAGATAGTTTTCCAGTACGACCAGACGAACATTGCAAACAGTAGATGATAAGCAATCAGGCACACAACTAAAATGAGAAAAACGTAATTAACATTATAATATGCAAAACACACTAAAATCATGGTGTTCACAAAAGATATGTTTGTTCCAAATGAACCAAATTCTTCACTAATTTAATTATTCCATATCCTATGATTAGAAAGCTCTCATCTGTAGGTACCGTCATCTACTGGCCAAATGGTGACAGAGACATTTCCTAAATTATAAAAGTAAGTCAGCCGTGCCTGTAGCTTTAAATAATAAACACAGCATTAAACAAATGTTCAAACATTCAGGCTTAAAGAACTTGACTTCCCTGACGAAGAATAGCAAAACCAGTTCCTATTTGAGAGGGTATTTGCTAATTTTGCTTAGCGGTAGTCAAATCTGTCGGCAGTGATTGTTTTAATGACTCTGTATTTAAACAGAGACCATCTGGACAAAGAGAGATTTCCTCTAATAGGAGTTCAAGTGTCTTGTTTATCACACGGGACAACTTCTAAGAAAAGTATACTTTGCTCAGGCAACATATATAAGCATACTTTGTATGGTGTTTTAGTCTTGAGGTACTGTATTATGCAAGTACAAAATATTCTGTATGCAGTGATAATGATCAATTCTGGAAAATACATTAATATAAATATATAAACACATATAAATAAACATATAAGTGTATTATAAATATATGAAAATATATTCTGTAAGACACAGTTGAAATATGTTAGTTTAAAATACAGCATGTTTGGTATTTTAAAATTATATGGCAATTTCTTAAAGAATGACAATATGCACAGAAGCATTTAAAAATTCAATTATCTAATGAGGCACTTAAATCAGTGTGTAATGACTACAGCTAATGATATTTTCCGTGAACTATATGGGTGACTCAGGAATGGGGTAATTCTCTGAGTTGAAACAAGAGACTGTTGATATTCTTATATTTTGAGGCCACAAAGACTCTTTGGCACAATGGCTACCATTTCAAGGGAGAGGTCTTTGCCAAATGTCTGCCAGAACTCAGTCTGGGGACTGAGGGAAGTCTTTAACCCACCGTGACTCCACGTTCTCAAAGTATAATTTGCTAATTCCAGCCAACTGTGAATGAATACTCTTTTTAAAAAACTACTTTAACAATTTCACATCTAAAACAATAATAAAACATGTCATACCTTGTTCTCCAACGTTTTCCATGGACACTATAGAAATAAAAAGAAAACAGAGATTAGTAGTAGATTACGACCCTTAAGGCAAACAACAGGGCCCGACAGAGTCACAGGGCTCTTGAGTAGGTTGATAACTTGCTTCAAACCAACATTCGTTAAATATTTGTTCAATTTTATCTAGAGGAGAGGCGAGCACTGTTTGGGGGCAGGGTGGAGAAGGAAGGCTGGTGGCTGCATTCCGCCGGGCCTCCATTGGTATTTCAGCCCTGATACCACATAGAAAACTTAACCCATCAGGCATGCTCCCTGTTTGTCTTATTCCTTTATCAGTTGGTTGCTTAGTCTTCCTTCCAACTCAGGGTTCAGATAAAAGCAGTGTTCTCCAGGGGCACCCGGATGGTTCAGTCAGTTAAGCGTCCGACTTCGGCCAAGGTCATGATCCCGCGCTTCGTGGTTTCAAGCCCTGCATCGGGCTCTGTGCTGACAGCTCAGAGCCTGGAGCCTGCTTCGGATTCTGTGTCTCCCTCTCTCTCTGCCCCTCCCCCGCTGTACTGTCTCTTAAAAATAAACAAACATTAAAAAAAAAGAAAAAGCAGTGTTCTCCAGGTCAGTACATTTTCAGAGGTATTTATTGCTCTTTACAAGTTGACAACTGCCTAGATAATTCTCCAGAAAGACTAAAATGTTGTATCCATGGCACATACTCTTGTCAAATTTCTAGAAGTGCAAATTCTTATGCCCAATGACTAATTGCTCCCTACTGTTCAATGAGAGATGCAGGTAATGTACCTGAGGAACTCCCATCCTTGAGGGGCTGTTGTAAATACCCCAAGGTAGATGAGGACCCTAGATTAGGGACCACTTAGCTGAAAGGAGCTGGGATAAGAAGCTGTATTTAGAAATAACCCAGGCAGTTTTCCTACCTTCTATATTGTCTGCTTGTTTTGTTTCCCATTTGGCCTTCTTCCCTTCTTCCTTCTTCCATCTTTGTACTAAGATCCTTTTTGGAAGTTTTGGCCTATCTCAAAGCTGGAAGTTGTAGCCAGCAAAGATTTGATATTTCCTGGAATATAGTTTCATTGCCTTAAGAAGCACTGGAACCAGAGAGTAATGTTGTGAAAGCTTTTTAAGATTATCTGATCCAAAAAACATCCTTCCCAAGAGAGCTACTGAATGTTAGTTTAGGGTTTCTAGAGGCAGCAGGAGCCCATGGTTTGGGAGTAAGTCCATTCCATTATTGGACTGCTCTAAAAAATGATTATAGGAGATTTGTGTGCTGAAATTGGCCTCTTTGTGTCTTCTACCTATGGTATCGAGGCTTCTAATCTGTAGCATTAAACAGAAAATCTAAACAACAGACTTTCACATATTTAAAGTTATTGTATCTCCCTTAAATTCTGTCTCTTAGTCCAAATAATATATGAGTTCCAGATCTCTCACCAACCTTGATGTGGCTCCTTTAAATACAGTACTTCCTTGACTCTCAATTTCCTTTAACATTGTTTTTAATGTCTATTTATTTTGAGAGAGAGAGAGAGACAGACAGACAGACAGGCTCTGTACTGACAGCACAGAGCCAATGCAAGGCTTGATCTCATGAAATATGAGATCATGACCTGGGCCAAAATCAAAGGCAGATGCTTAACCACCTGAGCCACTGAGGTGCCCCTCCTTTAACATTTCTAATACCCAGAATGGGGCAGGCAGACAAGATGGTGACCATGTGAATACCTTCACTATGGGTCACAATCTTAATTTTCCCATCAAATGTTTATTTGCCTAATTTTATCTTGCATTAGCCTAATTCCTTTCTGGTCTGTGCCCTACAGTGATAACTTTCCAATATTCCTGAGAATTTAAACCTCTTCCCTAACTAACTGTGGTACAGTGAGGCAACAAGAACTCTGACCTGTTGAAAGATCCTAAGGAATCTCAACACTTTCTTGGCACCAAAAGTACACAGGAAGAGAGGAAGCGGGGATGATAAGTTATCAACCGAGTTATCAAAGATGTTCCCGTCTGCAAAGAACACAATGATGGCCTTCAAGGATTACATCTTGGAGTCTAGAACCATGCTAGACACTGCAAGGCTGGCAGACTGGGTCACCAGTTGTTTTCCAGATGCCCTGTCCACTGAGGGCTCTCCTCCGTTATCACTCATTCCTCGAAGAAATGGAATGAGGCATCCGAGAAAAGGTGACTGGTCAGTTATCAGTTCAGAATTACTAAGAGTGAGACTTTCTGTTGCAGTATTATCTTTAAGAAACTCTTGGATAAAAATAAAACACGTAAAATCCAGGCTGAAGATTGAGACTATCACCAAAGCAATAACCCTTAATACACAAAAGGATGACAAACTGCTTCTTGATTCAAACCTGGCTTGAATAAACATTCTTAAACATGTATACTAAAAAAAAAAAAAAAAAAGTATGCCCTCCCTTATCTCTTTTGCATGAATTATGAAGCAGTCATTTAATACAGGATGAATAAACTACAGTCCTGTTCCAAATACAGCCAGCCCCCGATTTCTGCAGACAAGTTTTTACTGGAACATAGATACATCCATTCGCTTTTGTGGCTAGTTTGTGTTCTAATGGCAGAGTTGGGTAGGTGTGACAGGGTCAGTATGGCCTGTATTGCCTAAAATATATACTATCTGATCCTCTATTAAAAAGGTTTTCCAACCCCTGTATATTAGAATTCTCCAAAGTAACAGAACTAACTAACACACATACACACACACACACACACACACACACACACACACACACACACACACACAGTGAGAGGGAGAGAAGTGATTGGCTGATTTGAAGGAATTGGCTCCCATGATTATAGGGAATGACAAGTCTGGAATCTGCACAGCAGGCTGTAAGCAGAAACTCCAGTAAACAGTTAATATTGCAATCCTGGGTTCAAGACAACCTCAAGGCAGAATCTTTCTTCAGGGACCCTCAAGCTTTTCCTTAAAGGCCTTCAACTGATTGGATAAGGTCCACCCACATTATAGAAGGTAATGTGCTTTACTTAAAGTCTATTGATTTAAAAGTTAATCGCATTTAAAAAATACCTTCATAGAAACATCTAAACTGCTGTTGAACTAAACGAATGGGCATCATAGCCTACCCAGGTTGACACAGAATTCATCATCACACCCTGATGTTATAATTGAGTTTTATTCCAGAAATCTACTGAGAAGATATGTGTTGATCTTTTATATGAGTTCTCAAGTGAAGGTTACTATTTATTATATGTTCATTATTTATTATAAATCAATAAGTCAGAACTATAGCCAACAACAGATCCACAGTACATCTTTATGCATCTGCCAGAGGGAAACTAATAATAAAATCCCTTTTCATACTCTAAAAACCCTACAAACAAATAATCCTTCAAATTAAATTTATTTATTCACCCTTATGATCATTTAGGATGCTATCAAACCCTATTCTCTAAACAGCTCTAAAAATATTAGAGGTTTAGTCTCCACTGATTTAAATTCAACCTTGATTTAAAGCAGGGAATCATCTCAAAGATCATGCTAGTCCTATAATTTCACCAAGCGATTTTTTAAAATTTGGCTTTGGTGATGATGCATTAGGAGTTGGTTACCAACAATTATATTTATTGATAAGAAGCAGCCCAGCAAACTGCTGGTAACTTAAATCTAATTCAACTCTTAGTTATAAGTACATCCAACATCCAAAACTTCAGACACTAAAATACGCCTTCATAGTAGGAAAAAAAAGTACTTACCCCCTTAATTTAGCAAAGAACAGTTATATAATTGTTGCTAGAACAATTTGGTTTTTAGGTATTTTCACTGCAGATGTATACTGCTGTGATCTTTCTATTTCTTAGTCTGAATTTTATTTTTCTTGCCTTCAAATTCAAACTCTCTATTTTGGAGGAATAACTTACTCACACTGCATATACACAGTACCTTCTCTATATAAATCCATGGCACTATTTCCAAATTCCAAATTCAGTTCAACATAGATACATCTTAGCCCTGTATATGCAGTCTACTAATGACAACCAAAAATAAAAATTTGGTTCTAATGAATGAACTGTAGGACAACTTCATAGTCAAGTTCTATTGGGGGGGGGTGCTTATCTTTACCTCGTTTATTGAAAAACATCCACTAACTCCTCTAAGCTTATCTATTGGGTATAGAATGGAAAATGTGATTCCACCTCTTTGCTCAAAGAGCTTAAAGTTTATGAGATCATTGTAGTTCAAAGTTAAAACTAACTGAAAAAACAAGGAAAGTTTTTAAGGCATTTTGAGTTAAGTAATCGAAGCAGGTCAGATTCAGATTAAGTCAAAAACAGCAGTAGCAATACAAATATGCTTTAATATCTCCTGTCCTAACCAAGTCTCTCCTTTGACCTCATCTCTTGGGCTGCTATCCCATTTTTCTGGACTTTTCACAAGAAAACTTACTAAAAATTTTTTTAATGTTATTTATTTTTGAGAGAGAGAGAGAACAGGAGAGGGGCAGAGAGAGAGGGAGACACAGAATCTGAAGCAGGCTCCAGGCTCTGCGCTGACAGCAGAGAGCCCAATTCAGGGCTTGAACTCACAGACCATGAGATCAGGACCTGAGCTAAAGTTGGGCGTGTAGCCGACTGAGCCACCAAGCCATCCCACAATAAAACGTATGTTAATGATCATCCAAATGCACTGTCTGTACCCCCTCTAACTTCCTATTACTTCCTGAACCAACTCCAGCTGGCTTTTCACCCCTGAATTCTACTGCTATCACTCCTGTTAAGGACACCAAAGCCGTCCCTTGCTGTAAATTCTCAATACTCAAGTTACTCTAGCAGAATTAATTATGCTCTTTTTGTCTATCGAAATGACAGAGAATTCTCCGACTAAATTGGCCAGGGGAAGCCCCTTGAAGTAGGATCCTTTGTTCTTTAATCTACTTTCCAAGAAGATCTAGCTCATTTTTCAGGTTATTACAGATCAAAATGAGCGTGGTAGGAGGTACATGACAAATCATTCCTGTAAATACCAGTCACAT